CCTATCAACATATGTTGCCAATACTTTACACATTCTTTAATTGCTAAGCATTCAGATAGCTTTTTTCCTTTTTTGAACTTCGTTAAATTTTTTTGTAAATTATGCTACTGGTTTCTCTTCTTTGTTTTCTTGTGGCTGTTTTAAGACTGCTCCTACTCCAAGTATACTGGCATCTGTGTATATGTGAATTGGCAAGTTATGATCAAAAATGGTTAATATTGGTTGAGAGCATAATATTTCTTTCATCTCATCAAATGACTCTTGGCATTCCTTAGTCCAGTTAAAGATTTGTCCTTTTCTCAAATGGTTATGCAATGGTTCTAATTTTATTGCTATGTTTGGCACATACTTGTGATAAAAGTTTATTTTTCCTAAAAATTGTCTCACATTTTTTTGCGATTTTGGAGTAGGGAAGTTTTTTATTGATATCAAGTTGTCTTTTAGAGGTCTAACTGAATTATTCTGTATAATGTGGCCCAGATATTTAACTGAGTCTGCTGCAAATGTGCATTTAGAAAATTTCAATCTAAAACCTTCACTTTTAATTGCTTGAAATAACTGTTTTAAATGCCCGATATGTTCTGAGAAAGTTTTTGAGAACAACAAGATGTCGTCGATGTAACTTACGGTGAATTCTCCGAGTTTATGTTTTCGTATAACATTACACATTATTCTCTGGAATATTGCTGGCGAGGTTTTTAGGCCGAATGGTAAACAAGTCCATTGAAAGTGACCTTCCTGTGTGACGAATGCAGTTTTGTATCTGTCTGTGACACGCAGAGGTATTGACCAAAATGCTGAATTCAGGTCCAATGTTGAGAAAAAATTGCAATCTCTTGTTTTTACTATTAGGTCTTCAATAAGTGGAAACGGCTGTGACTGCGGAACAACAATTTTATTTAAGTCACGAAAATCTATGCACAGTCTTGATTTTTTATTTTCTTCTCTTTTATAAGCTAATGTAACTGGGGCTGCAAACGGACTACATGATTCTTCTATTATATTTTTTTCCAACAATTTCGCAATCTGATTTTCTATCTCCTTTTTATCTTCAATGGTGCAACGATATGGCCTTTTACTGCAATATTTTTCTACTATCAGATCAATATGTGCTTCATAATCCGTTACCGTTCCGATGTCATATTTGTCCTTTGCCAAAACAGATTTATTGTTCAATATCAAGTCATCAATTACTGCTTGTTTTTGATAGTCTAGATGATTTATACAAATTTTGAAGTTCTCTACACTGAAGTTTTCGTTGAAATTTATTAAATTATCAGATTTTATTTCCTTAGAAATATCAATATCTGTTTTATTTGTTTCCTTAGAAACTATTTCACATCTTTGTATAGGAACTTTCTGATGTATTTCTAAGTTTTCATTTTGGATTAAGTAAAACTTTTTTATACAATCTAGTCCAATTAAAAAATCGTAATCGAAATTTTATTCTATTACAAGGACATCCATATTTTTCTCAACATTAAAAATTGTTACATTAAGTGTTACTACGCCTCTAGCCTTTTTAACGCCATTAATTGTTTTTAAATTAGTATTGTTAGAAAAACTTAATTCCTTATTGCTTATCTTTAGCAATCTTGAATTTATCAATGACACATTAGAGCCTGAATCATAGATTCCATATATTTCAACTTTTTTATTCAATACTAATTTTACTTTAATTAATGGCGGCATTATTAGTTTTTTTGGTCTTCATATTGCAGTTCACATTCCAATTCTGAATTGTTTATGAGCTTTATTTGTTTCTTATCTTTTTCTTTTTCATTATTTATATATTTTTTAAACCAACATATGTCTTCTGAATGATATCGTACACACACTTTATTTAGTTTTTCACAAATGTTACATTTTTCTTTCATCAAGTTACTTTTGTTAGATTTTTTAATAAATTTCCTCTTTGTAACCAAATGTTCTAGTTTGCCGAGTTGATTGAATAAGTCTTTTGTTTGTACAATATCTTCCTTGTTGATCCTATCCGTTATAAAATCTGGTAAGCCCGCAGCAATTACATCAATAAGGGTGCCTTCATCAATTGTTTTTCTTACTTCAAGCATAAGTTTTTCTTTTTTTATAGCATATTCTAATAAAGATCCCGATTGATATTTGAAAAATAAAGCGTACTTGCTAGTAGTCCAACCTTTATTAGCATAGGTTTGCAAAAAGTTTGATTTCCATTCCAACCACTCTGATTGTAAACTAAGCTTGATCATCATGGAAGAATACCAATCAGTGCATGATTTTTCTAGAAACAGCCTGAAGATTTCAATTTTTTCTTCATCTTTTACTATATCAAACCTTGCACATTCTTTTTCAAATATTTCCATCCAATGATATACACTTGCCTGTTTTCCATCAAACTTTTCAATCACAAACCTGTCGGCTAGCTTTTTTATACATTGTTTTTCTTTGCTTTGTTGGCCTTCAATCAAATTACATGTTCGTTATTGGTTTTGTCAACTTGCAACAATAACGTGGCAAGACTTCAACCGAAAACTTACAAAGGAATCCCATTCATTATTATTATAATACTTATTCGTTTCTACCAGATAAAATTTATCCAAGTTTCTTCTTTATACTAGCCAAGTAACCAAAATTTTGGTTCCTAGCAAATTACTTTAATATTACTAATGATTAAAGCTTTTACATACGAAGGCGGAGTGATATGTTTGCTAAAAATGAAACAATTACATAATATTATTTAAAAAATTTGGAAATTCAGTATGGTATAAAATATCATTGGTTTGAGCTAAATCTTTACTCAAAAAGCCACTTTTTTAAAAATTCGGAAACAGAAAATATTCGCCAGCGGCAAAATCTTGCTAATATGGTGTGTATTATTAACTGATGTTTTTGCTTTCAGTCCCGAGACTATTAAAGCTTCATCTGACGCAGAACCGGTGGGCTAGCCAGAACCCACGGGTTTGGGCCCTCCGCTGTGGGGGTAATATGGTATATAGTCGGTGTAGTATGGGTGAGAAAAAGCAACTCGTGGAATTAGGCCACGGTAATCTGTCAGTTAAAATTTTGTTAAATGGGTCCATAATCGGTAGATTAATAGTAAATCGGTATAATATTCACCATATTTAATAGTTTTACACTTTTCTAGGTAGTTAATATGAGTTATAGCACGGGCATCCCATAAAACTTTAGCATCACTTTATATTGCGATAAAAATGAAATTCTTTGGAGCTGGGACGCTAGCAGCAATCCACTATTTCGATTCTTGCTTAGTGTCAGGTATATGATGGAGGATGAATGTTTCGTCTACTGTAATAAAACGATGCAAAGGTTTCATTCCGTTGAAACAATGCCAAACTTGCCTCGATATTAGTCTCACGAATGCGCATTTAATCAACATTCACTAAACACGGCACCCATCGCGCGGAAAGCTTTTTATATATCTAAATGTTGGTGCAAGATATTGCGCACAAGTTCGTCAAAAATGTCTCCTATTTCTACAGTGGAGCTTTTACTCTTCGGTCCTTTAACATTATGTAATGGATTTTAGCGATTAGTTCTGAACTAGTGATCTCAATTGCAACAACAGCATCAATTGTGCTTGTATGACCAAACCAAAAATCAGAAAAGCCCTTGTGAATCTATTAAATCGACGGAGCAGAGACCCTCTAATATTTATCAAGCATTTTTTTAATTTCCCTAATAGTTTCTCTAGGTTACAAAATACTGTTAAATCCACTGTTTTAATGTATTTTTTAACGACTGGCAAAAAAACTATCGGTGGTAGTGACTGAAAATTTTAAATTAGTCCTTCAAAAGACTTGTAAACAAGGTTTCGTGCATTTTGGGAAAATTTTATACCGAAACAGATGATAACCATAGGTACCTACCATTTTTACCGACCTTATATTCTTAGACACTTTTATTGTACACTTCTTCAAAATATCTAAAAATATTAAAAATAATTCCTTGCTTTGATCAATATGCCTACTATTAAGCAGGCTTCGTTTTCAATTTTAAACCGCCAATCTTCGCTTTACGAACTTCATAATATTTATTTCAAATAAAGCAATGAAATATGTCCCACTAGCTGCTGCCCGCGACTACGTCTGCGTAGAATAGGCTGAAGGCGTAACATTCAGACAAAAGACAGAGGAGATATACATAAAATATGTATAATATAAATTATAGCCTATGTCTTATTCTGATGTATAAGCTATATTATTGTAAAGTTTCATTAAAATCCATTCAGTAGTATTTGCGTGAAAGACTAACAAACATCCATCCATACATACAAACTTTCGCGTTTATAATATTAGTAAGGATTTCTTTACAAATAATTGAGATTAAATTATTTATGCAGGTATAAGTAATATCACTAGTACAATACAATATTATGCTAGCAAATTAAATAAAATATTCAACCTTGATGGAAACACTGCAAGATGGTCTTTTATTTACTGTACAGTAACCGTAAAAGCTTCACCCCTTAATAAGTAGATATTAATAAAGAATAACACATATTGTTTGTTATCGTATTACACTCAAAATACCCGTAAATGGCAGGGGTGAACAACAATAACCTGAAAGCCTCTATTATCACATTTGATACACGAGACTGAAAGGATCTTTTAATACATGTTAGAAATAAGATTTTCTTTCGACTAATGGCTCTATTCTCAGACATGTCAATCAATTTTTCATATATAAAGCGAAGGAAACTTTCTTGGGGGCGCAGTTTCCTTTCAGGGATTAGGCGTAACAGTCAGTTTCTTTACTAGACGCTATGGTAAGTCATTAGTGCAAAAATATGAATATTTTGATAATTATCTCGTATAAATTAGTTTTAAAATTATTAAATCATATATTTTTAGGATACCACAATCTCTTTATTAATCCGGATTTGCATGGCCTTTCTGCTAATTACACAGACATTTATAAGTACTTTAGCGCTTAAAAAGACATCGAATGGAGATGAATTCACTGTTGAAAATAAAAGAACACAGAGAAGAGAGAACTACGTAATGAAGAGAGCTGTGGACCATGGAATCTTAGTCAATGATGATGATTCCAGTATACCGTATTCCACTGACTACTCAGACACAGAGTCGAACCCTGAAGAGTTACCATCAATGATTGTAGATTATGCCAATATGATACGGAACGACATTATTTTATTGGACAATTCTGTTGAGACCAGAACACGGAAAAGAGGTAACATAAAGGTTGAGAAGCATAACGTAAGTAACAAATTTCCTAAAAATAAACTAACATCTCATTTACTTTAATCTTATTAAAAGGATTCTGCAGATACTCATGACAGTTGTAATTACCAAACAAAATATAGACCTTTCGTATTTTTTTAAAGAAAAAATTGTATAGTATTCCTTAATTAAGATTAAAATAAAAGACCAATGTATAGAGCTACCTGGTTTCATCAATAACGATACAATCTATACAATCAAGTATTTTAAAGCATTGTACGACTGTAGCACTCGAACTTAAGACCTGAGGTATCACATCTGACGTCAGAGTTTCTAAGTTATCTTTACCTTAAAGTAGTAAATAAATTAAAAATTATAACTAATTGTTACAGCAAGCAATCTTGGACCCGCCTTGCAGCTGTGTCCAAATGTCACGTAGGGTAAGGAAATTATCATAATTTTTTAAATTTTGATAATAAGTTTCGTTTTTTAAATATAGCATAAGAATAAAAATAATAATCAAATCAATATAAATTTTGCAGAAAGAGATCATTGATTTAGGTGAAGAATATTTCCCTCGTTTCATTGAAACGAAGAACTGTAGCAAACGACTTTGCCCGACTGCATACAATTGCCAAAAAAGTTTGTATAATGTATGTATATCAATATAAATATAAAATTTTCGTGTCACAATGTTAGTTGCCAAATTTCTCCGAAACGGCTGCTTGATCGATTTTTATGAAAATTTATATGTATATTTGGTAGGTCTGAGAATCTCGGTCGTAATCTTATTTCCAGGGTGATCCACCAAAAACATTTTTTTCTACCCTACAAATTCCCTAGAAATAATTTATACCGCAAAACAACGTTGGCCGGGTCAACTAGTCTTATTAATAAATAAAAATGAATGTTGGTAAGCGCATAACTCAAGAATGGCTTGACCGATTCGCCTAATTTATTTTTTTGTATATTTCCTAAGGTCCACGGAAGGTTTTAAAAAAAAAGGACGAAGTCTGTCCGGACAACTAATATACCATAAATTTAAATGATTCAATTATATAGTAGCGAAACAATTATATAGCGGCAAAGTGCCTTTTTTTCGTTTCCATTGGAACTTTCATGTCTTTTATTATAATAAAGACACTCCTGTTCAATAGCTATGTTGTGAACAATTATTAAGCCAATCGGCTAGTTTTTGAGTTTTGTGAACACGAAAGCTAATTTTTATATGTAAGGATTAGACAAAGCTCGAATCGATTAAAAGAATATATGCAATTTTTTTTCATTTTTAAAACCATCATTAGGTCATGAATGTCTCGTCATCTATATTTTAATGAACTTAAATAATGTATTTATTTGCGGTTACTGACATTTCTTAGCAGCTGGCATTAACTTTTATTATTTACTATCTTAACTTTTTGTAGTAGTTTTCATTTCAATTTACTCTACCGACTGAAGTAGCTGTGATTTTTTTAGATAACACTTTTAAAGAAGACTGTTTATTCAAATGAGGTATCGCAAGTGGACATTCCTCATGAATTTAAACGACACTGGATTGGAATAAGACTTCCCGTTATCACTGGCTGTACATGCACAAGGAACTTTGTGGAAAGCAATTAAAATCATTATATTTGCCTGCACTCTTCTATTAAAATCACACAGTATAATTGCAAAGCATTTTGACGTTATTTACTATGACAAATAAAGGCCAATAAGTGTATGCAATGTATTTTGTATTAAAAATAAAATTATGGAATTTAATTAATGTGTTTCAACTTAACTGTAGTGTAATATATATATATATACTATAATTTTTCATGTTTCCTTTAGTGAGACATGTTGTATACATAAAATAAAATAACAGCTTTATTAAGTAAATTTCATTTATTACCTACAATGTGAAATTTAATAAAAAATCAAACAATTTATGTTATGTACTAAGTAGTATTTACAGTTCAACTAACAAGTATCAAAAATTAAAGACATTGCATCTGTGAAGATAATCTTGTCCCCTGGAAATCACATAACAGTATAAAATTGTCTTTAAATAAACAACCATTACAAACTTTTTTCATGATAACATACAAGCAATTATCTTCAGCAATTCTTTTATCATTTTATATACTTCTCTTTTTAGGCGGTTTTTCGTGAATAGGGACTACTTACTTATAGCACAGTTAAACCAGCCATGTAAATATTTCTAGGACTCTATTTAATAAAAGTCATTATATAAATTTTAATATTATTTTTATATAGAGCCAGTGTATACATAGAAATAAATGGATATGATGATTGATGCTGATGTAGACACTTCCAAAATATTTGACCGATCTTTACACTACTAAAGTAATATGCTCAAAGAAGCACACGAGTAACCTGTGCTTTTTTGAGTTAACTTATAAATCACACAGACAGTAAACTAAATCCAAAATAGATATTATATACATTTTATGTATCCAAATATGTATTGTATTCCGAAGATATTGGGATTCCAAAACGCAATTCCTTACTATTGCTATTTTTAACAATAAATAAAACGACGAGCTTAGCTAGCTGTGTTCGGATGCTCGCCTTTAATTTAATATACTAGAGCAACATGAGTTCGATCCCCAGTGCTGGCACCAATGAAATTTTAAGTGCTGACTTATCATGTGCTGTGAAGGAAACCATCGTGAAGAAACATGCGCGTTTTCGAAATAATAAAAAAAACAAATTATTTAGAAGATATGTGAAGTCCACACTATGCCCTGATACCCTATGTACAGAGAAGGCCTTTGCCCAGCAGTGGGTCATGTACAGGCTGTTACTTTACTTTTTTGTTAATAAAACTAATGAGGAAAAACTAAACCATTACTTATATACTTTAGATATGTTAACAAAATCAAATTTATATTTTTAGGGACAAGATTAATTTTTCACAATTCATATGGCTCTAAACATATGTTTTGTGAGAAAATGAACTTCTTTAGTACTCTGTGGTATGATGAACAGTTTCATGAGCTGCGGGGGTCGGCACGTCGTTGAGATGCGGCATTATATGTGCTATGGCGACACGAGTCTCATTCACCATTCCCATCTCCCTTCTTAGCACCTCTTCTGTCACCGTGTGAATTGATTTGAACTTAAGATTGAGCCCATGCGCCTTTAGCACGTGGTTATTTAAGTTCACTTTGTAGCTGAACGCCACATTGCAGACCTGTCAAAAAAATTATGTTAGTTTTAATATTTGCTTTCATTTTGAAAATAACCGTCCGTTTGAAAACCGTTTATGGTCAGGGAACCGCACATTGCAATATTATAAAAAGAAAAATTTCTCTATTGACATTTCAACATTAAAATGTTTATTCAATACAAATTGTTCATATGTATTAAGTCCTTACATATGAAATTAGCGTTTTGTCGTAGTGATCACTTTGATCTGAAATATCTCCGCTTTGGTTAAGAATTCCAAATTCAAATTTATAAATTCATTTAGCTGGTACATTTGAGTTTCGAAAACAGTCATTCATTTGTTTCTTCCTCATTATTTTATTTGGCGGCGTCGCTTATTACTCCACAATGGAAAACATGAAATGTTCGGTGCTGATTGTACCAGTGTAAATTTTGAAAAGTCATTCTTATTTTTGTGGACATACATAACATTTATAAGTATATGTAACATTTGCATGCTACAGTCAATATTTTCATTTCTTTAAACAAGTCTCTTAGTGAATCTTTGGGGCCCAGGTTATAAACTGCTCGAATAGCTCTCTTTTGCAGGATGAAGATAGTGTTTATGTCGGCCGCATTTCCCCATAGTAGAATGCCATAAGCCATTATACTGTGGAAATACCTAAAATAAACCAGACAAGCCGTATCCACATGAGTCTGTCTATCAACTGTCAAATTTTTTAACCGCGAAGACTGCTGAGCTAAGTCTACTCCCCAGTTTATTAATATGGGGGCCCCACTGCAATTTGGCATCTACAGTTATGCCAAGAAATACAGTCGAGTCAATTAGGTCTAACACTTCCCCATACAACAAAGTATCTCTTATAGGATCTTTGACCTATGCAATTGCTGATTTCTAAGGTTTCCTGATCATGCATACTTGTAAGATCTTCCAGTCTTGTACTCTAAGGATGGCATAAAACATATTATAGTCTGGTTTGCAGTTGTTTAGGAACTTCTTCCATTAGAGTAAAAGCTCAGTGCTCTTTCATTCCCAAGTTGTATTGTTTTTATTTCCTGACATTTAAGGGTGTTGAGGATAGTAATAGCTATAGATCAACAAAGCATACAGTCACTTTCAACCTAAAATGCATGCATAGATGACCTGTTCATAGTAAAGAAGTGACAGTTGATATAGAACGTAAGATACGGAAAGAGATAGAAGTATATAGAGTTGTATTTGACGTCCACTAGCTATAGGCAGAATCGGACAAAACAGAAGAGAAATTACACCAATTGCCGGTATTTGAATGCCTCAGTTTCAGCGCTAGTGTCATATCTACCTCTTATTTGCATATTATATCATTGCAAATGAGTACACAATTTGCATAGGTTTCTTTCAGTAAGCTCGTGTGGCAACCTTTTTCGAAAAAAGTCCAGCTATTTTGTAACAGCTTATCGAATTTCTTTGTATTAATTCTAGTGTTGCATATCGATTATCTATCGATATTTAAGGTAAAAGGAATAGTATCGGTATTCTATCGATAGTATTGTCACGTGTCAATACTGTCGATACTACCGATAGTAGTGCCAATACTATTGATAACAGCAATACTATCGATAGTAATGCATGCGATAGTATCGATGGTATCGATAGTATTGCAATTTCCATTAGTTTTTGACAAAATTATCGATACTATCGATAATATCGATGATTTTGTACTATCAATAGCCTTTTACTGTCAGTACAGTATATTTAACATCATGTAGTGACGGAGATCCATGCGCTGCAAGAAACGTTTCGAAATTGTGAACGCACCTGGCACGAGTAGGGCCGCTCCCCGGTGTGCATACGCTCGTGGTTTTGCAACTGGTGTTTCGCGTTGAACGACATCGGGCAGTTCGAGCACTTGAACGGCTTATAGCCCGCGTGAATGCGCAGGTGGCGGTTCAAATCGCAACGCTGAAACACAACCAGCACTTGTAATAGGCGCACCTATTGGATTCTTAAGATCCAACATAGATTACAGATGTTTTCGGAGAGGCCATCCTCCGTCATCAGAAACAACATTAAGAATGTTTGCTTTATTTCATACAGATTATTATTTAGAGAATATCACTACATAGATAAAACAAAGTCTTCCCGCTGTCTGTCCCTATATATGCTATCTTTAAACTACTCAACAGGTCTGGATTCAATTTTTTTTTACAAGATACTCTATCTTTAAGAGAAAGGTTTATATGTATAATACATTGTACCCATTCGAAGCCGGGACCGGTCGCTATTTTTTATTAGATGAAATAAATAATAATAATCATTTTGGACCGATTGCAAGACAAGATACTGTACGAATCTTAATTATGGTATGGGGCTATTTGATGACAAAGAAGCAATTTGAGCCCTAAGCTGCAAAAGTGAATAGCATCTTTAATTAACATATACATTTAATATATTGAAACTTCCAACTTTACATTTTTAAATGGCATTGTTATTGGTATATTATAATACAAATTTTTTTTTCTATAAATTGAAGGTGCCATTAGAACATGACAGACAGAATGAGGACAAGATAAACATTTACTGACCAGATCCACAATATTCTCATGAGGCTAACATTCGCAGCAAAAAGAATAAAAGAGATGATTAGATAATATTTAGGCAATGATATGCACTGGACAAGCTTTGAGGTTGAAATGGATTCATTAGGTGTCACTGCTTGTATTAGGTGGGGATAATAAAGCTGAAACATGTCATGATCTTTATTGTATTTATTTTCACAAGTCCATGCTAAAAATGATATTGAAATTGAGGTTTTTCATTAACTTTTGATAGAGGACTTTTATGGTTAATTGGACAAATCCAAAGTCACAAAGTGAAGCAAGCTAATCTACTAACTAAATTATTTTTTTAATAGTGTGATTAAACTTACAGCAATAAACTTCTTTGTGCATAAATTGCAGGAGAAGGGTCTGTCACCCTTATGGATCAGGTTGTGTCTGGAAGAAATATTTTAAAAATAAATTCACAGCATATACATATTGGAAAAAGTGTAAGACAAGCATGAGTTGTACATTGATATATAGTACAATATCTTACCTAACTAAAGATTTCTGTGTATAGAAACCAGCACCACAAACTTCACAAATGTGATCCTTTATTCCTGAGTGTTGCTTCATATGCACATGTAAATTACTTCTTTGTACAAATGATCTGGGACATTGGGTACAAGTGAATTTTTTCTTTTCTGTAATGATTAATAGAATAAATAAATAATAAAGTGAAAATACTATGCACATAAACACAGGAAAAGAAACGAAAAATCCATTTTGCATGTTAAAAGGTACATGCAGCAAGCTAAGCAAACTAAGTCATGAATATGAATACTAAATAGCAGGTACTATAAACATGTTGTGTTATACAATAGTGATAAGGTCATGTAGCAGCTTTTGTTGTTGCATGAATGGGGCACCTTGTGTAAGGAAGTAAAAAGACATCACAGAACACAGACTTGAGTAGCACTTGAGCAAGTTGCAAGCAGCACGCAGTTGAGCAAGCACTAATCAGAAAGTTAAATTCACTATTAAAAAATGTAAAATAAAAGGAAATTACAAATTCCTTCAATTGTTTATCCTGTGAAAACGCTAAATTTGAAATAAAATAATATTGACATTACTTATTTAAATTAAACCTATTTAGGCCTAAGTTGGAACAAATTTAGAAAATGTATAAAAATCGTTATGGCATGTGAATCATACCATATGACTTGAAATAAATTATTGCATCAAGGAAAGGTTTGGAATGGAAATATAGCACCATTTATTTAATGGTTTTATAACTTAGTTGACAGAAGATTTCTTCATATATATATCAATAATATTTTTTTTATTATAAATTGAGTTAAAATCTATCCTATGTGCTAAGTTTGGCAAATCCAGCAAAATATATAAAAATCGAAAGTGGAATTCATTATTGCCTGTGATGGCAAGTTTGAGGATAGTGTGCAATGTAATTAATAATGGTTGAAGAAGTGATTAAATTTGCAAATATTGAAATTTTTTGACAAATAATGGTAGATTTTTTTTCAAAACTCTGTTTATATTAACCTGACTTAAAAATTTAATAATAAGTCAAAGTTTTAATTGTAACAAATAGATTCTTTGAATACAGCTACCACTTGGTTTGGAGCTAAAACTGCTTAAGAATACTAAAATAAAACAATATATTATTTAAGCAGCCAGAATGCTAACAACATACATGATCTTATAACAAAGTAAACAATTACCTTCATGAGTAGCAATGTGATTTCCAAGTGTATAAGTAAGTATACCACAAACAGGACATACAAGCTTTTCTCTTTTTCTTGTTTCCGGTTTTGCATTTCTGACTAATCGAACCGATTTTTCCCTTCGGACTATTCTATTACCATCAATCGAGTTGCTTGGACTTCTTGATTTGTAATTTGGGTGAACTTTAAGTACTGTTGCATCTTTGGGTCTTTTTAATAGTATTGGTGGACCTCTGGAGCCATTTTTCAATATTGGATCTGAAAAATGTTAGTTATAAAAATAAAACATAAAAATAAACGAAATAATGAAGTTAGGGGCTGTCCATTAATCACATGTTGTTTCATAGCATTTTTTAATGCTCCTCCTCGCCCTTGATTATACATGGTGAGGTTTAAACCTCACCATGTATACTACCCCCACAATCACATGTATTTTTTAGTACCTACAAAGAATCTTAAAATCTTTAGAATATTCTTTAAATACTATAATAGTTTTTATATTTAAATTAAGGACCATGATAAAAATATAACAGAGAGTCAAGGTCAGGGCGCTGTTCAGTTTAGAGATAGCTCATTTGACGAAAAAATAAATACACATGATATACACCCCTCCCGCCTTTTGATATTTCTTGATTTTTGCCAAACCCTCTCCTCCCCCTCTCGAGCCTCACGTGATTAATGGAAGGCTCCTTAAGTGTATTCAAAATTGTAGATTATCACAAAACAATAAAAATCAAACTTCACTCACAAACATATGAGACATGCAACATGTTATTCTTTCATCACATATTAATTCTACAACTATAAGAGCTTAATTCCAATAGAAACTATAGGGGTTGATTTTCATATAGAAAAGCTTAAAGTAGGTTAATATATCTTTCCTTGCAACTTATTTTGTGGCAGATAGTAAGTTATTCATCATAAACTTGTTTAGGTTTGTACAATGTCTTCTGAATTCAGAAATTTTAAAATGATAAATTTCTATTTATCTTGTGAATAGACATAAAATTGTACGTATGGGTCAAACAATAAAATATATGGCAGGGACAGCACTCATAAAATACTTACAACACGTAATTGTTGTAGACTTTGGTTTGACCTCATCACTTTTGCTACCATTTTCTTCCAAATCATCCATGTGTTTCTTTATTACTTTAACTTTTCTTACCACTGTCTTCTTACCTTTAAAAACTTTAATATCACATAATTTTGGTTTCTTGAATTTTGACTTATTTTTCTCAGTTGGTGGTATATAATCATCATCATCGTCATCATGATATGCATCCTCTAAATATTCAATCTAAAACATTTTTGAAATACAAAAAAATAGTAAAATCAAGTTTTCAGATTGCAATTGAGAGTAAAACACAAAATATTATCCTTACATCATCTTCATCATTATCGCTTTGAGTCTTTGAAGGCTTCCAACTTATATCTACTCTGTCATCAATGACAGTATCAAACCTCTCTTCTTCATTATCTGGATCTACTTTTCTTATAACAGTATTTGCTATTACTATATCCTTTCCTTCCATTGTTTCAATATTTTTATTAGCATTTTCTTCCACATCTATTTCCATTTCCCATTTTGGTTCAGATTTCACAGATAGTGGTCCAATTTCACTTTTGATATCAGTAAAGGAATCAAATGCAATTTTTTTTGTCGGGACATGTTGAATTGCATTTGATAAGATTGTACGCAATTTTTTATCAGTTCTATAAAATAAGTAAAAGTAATTAAAACTGTACAGAGACGAAACAAAAGGGAATAGTAAAAATTTTACCTTTCTGCCACAGTTTTCAGCAGGTATGCTTTCTCTAATGAAGTACAACATTTATGACAGATTTTTTCAGGTAACCCATCATTTGATAAGACCTATACAAAAATAATTAGAGAATTTTATCAAAGCTAAAACTAAAGGATTAAATACATAGCGAAAAAAATGGTGACTTTTAGTTTAATAAAAATATTCATTTATTGAACAGGTTACATTTAAAAAAGTTTTGTAACTTAAAATAACCTCCATTGTTGTCATACGTTTTTAATACTTATTATATATTATGATAATACCCAGCTTCCTTTTTCGCGTTTTTTTATAACTGAATCAAACTTAACTATCTCTCTGAAAACAAATCTTTTTTAGAATACGAAGTAAGGCGGCTTGTAAACATAATATAACCAAGTCCTTAATTCTACTAAAACATTACAAACATTTACCTTAACATCAGCAATCGCTGTCAACATTTCTGCATAGTTTCCAGACAATTTGTACTTGAATAATGGACATAAAGGTTTCTTGTTCGATAAACATATACGACAAGAACTTAAGTTTATAGAATTACTTGGATCAAACATTTTTCAAAACTTTAAGGCTGAAGGGATGCACAAAAATCCGTAACAATAGTGTCAATTTCTTCACTTGCCGATTGAGAGAGGCCCTACATTAATTGATTTCAACAATTTGTCTGAAATTCGTTGACTCCAAAAACTCGGTATTACAACGACATCATTCGACAGTTCCACACTAATGATTGTCGATGGTTTTCGTTTCACCCTAGGAGACAGTATGAGAGCTGCATTTCTGAAAAGACAAAATACGTTGGGTGATGGTTTATTTTTTTATAGAAAATATAAATATTTGCTGTATCCATGAATAGTAAATTTATTATAACGTAAAATCATATATTGATACCGGATAAGCATCACGAACTCATAGAAGAACGGCGTGAAATGAAAATGTAATACCTCCGAGTTCTGCGTTTCGTCTGATGAGTGAGGTACCCGGGGCTTACTTGTTCGAAGCCTATTTTATATAATTAACATTTTTGATGCTCTTCAATGCAATTTCATATCATCAACACCAAATACATTCTCAGTGCAATTTCAAGGTTTGGGAATGTAGCTCTGAAATTTTGATCTTCAAGAATTTGATAGTAAAATAGTTCCGGAGATTGATCTTTTCCATAGTCCCTTTTGTATGAGTCGATTAAAGATACAAATCTTAACCCTCAAGATGGGGAGTAAATTGCAAGTGCTTTGAGATTTTGATATTTTACTGATTGCCTGATTGGAGTGAACAAATATAGATCGATAGTTTCTGTTTTATTGGTTCCGCATGTCAAAAGTCAACTATAACAACACAAACCACCAGTTTAAAAAAAATCAATACTACCACCAGTTCGGAAAAGAAAGCCGCTGTACTGAGAAGAACCGACGAAAGAAACTCAGCGAGCTTTATTTCAATTTTTGACATACCCAGCGGGATATGAATATATTACAAACTACAAATAACCCCGGGTTCGCACGGGTGCAATGTATTATACAAAACCTTCCCCTTGAATCACTCTATCTAGTAAAAAATCCGCCTTAAGATCCGTTGCGTAGTTTTAAAGATCTAAGTAATTAAGTATACATAGGGACAGACAGACAGCGGGACGACTTTGTTTTATACTTGTTGATTGGTAATCTCAGATTATACATACTCTTTTGATGACAACTCTGATCTGTTTGGTTTATGTATTATGTTGGAATTACTTTAAATTTGGAATGTTAGTTTTATTTGTTCAGACTTCAGACTGAATTGTGTTTCATATTTGTTTGATTCCGTAAAAATCGCATAAAAAGTAACATATTGTCTGACATAATCGTTGTATTTTACATAAATTTCAAAATCATTACTTTTTGTCTAAAATAAGTTGAAAATGTTTAAGTTGAAATAAATAGTTTTCGTATCAGTCCTAAAGTGTCTTTTTGGTTTGAAAGTAATCCCATTAGCCACATCTACCATTCAAGAATACTATGTAATGCTTCAATATAAAAACTCCGATTGAAAGAGCCTGGAGCGATCAATTCATTACCAGAGTGTATTATCATTAATATTATAATAACCTTTAACACACAAACGTTCTTTTACTAACTTTTTAAATTTAGCTATTGATGCATTTTGAACGTTTTCTGGGATTTTGTTGTAGAAACGTATACATAAAAGATTTATTCTACGCAGTCTACTTGTGGGTAGGATCACTTTACGTTTGTTCTTATGTAGTATTTTTCATCATGAACATTATTATTTCTTGAAAATTTATCCTTTGCAGTTTGGCATCAATAGTTATGGCAAGGAATACAGTTGAGTCAATAGGGTCCAGCGCTTCCCCATATAAAAGTACATCAAGTTTAACATTAGATAAGCTTTTTTCCTATCTTCTCACATAATGAAGCTCATTTACACTCACCCAGACGGACTTGCCTATTCGTGTAACAGCGAAGACTGTTGCGCGGTCCTACCACCGCAGTAATATATATTTATTTTGTTATTCATGGCTACATTATATTGACCAAATAGTTAGAGAAAATTCTAGTTCAAAAACGTATCCTGAGCATGTACAAATTAATTTGAAAGGCATTTGTTTCGTGATAAGAACATGGGAAAAAATCTGAAGCATTAATGGGGAAATTGTACGTCTCCCGTTGTCCAAGCAAAGCTTGCGCCAGAGAGAATGTAATCACTATGTTTGCTTGCGCCAGTACTAGCATAGAGATACCTATGGTACAACTATTGACGTTGATGGCGAAAATCTTTTTGGTGCCTTAGCGTTCATTATCAGATGAACCAGAATCTAAATAATTTTTCGCAATTTTATGTGAGGTTAACGAAATACCCGATATATAACTTTTTATTGTTTTAATAGTACTTGATATAAAAAAGTGAAAAATTTTATAAATATTGTAAAAATTTTATAGCGATAGATGCTGGGGCTACATTAAGCTATCGAAATTGAAATTCGGCTACCTAAGGCTAGTTGTTATGCTGGAAAAAATGGCGTCATCAGGCCCTGTATTGTTGGCAAGGGCAACACTGATTGTCTACCAAACCAACAACAACACGAAATGTCAAATTAACATTGCGTTGGACGATAACAGGAACTATTTTTTTATTTTTGGGCTGTCTTGATCCTTTTCTGTAAGAAGTTAATACTATATCCAGTAAAAATAGTATATTAAAATAACAGAATTATTGGTGTAGGAAATCAGTTGTTCTATTATAAAAAATGTTATGATGGCTACCTACGAAAATTGGTCAGGTCGACGAAAAGGTAATTTTTATTATAATTTTATGTTACATATTTCATTTCTAAGCTTCAAAATAATTGCTTGGTATTTTGAAGAAATAAATTTTAAACAATATATTGCCATCACACTGAGTGCTATATGGAGTTAATACATTACAGGTAAACATGGTGGCGATTTATATAGGTTAGACACTAAAAATAAATCACCTGAAGAGAATATTAAAGAAATTATTCAAGGTTTATACTTGCGGAAACCATTCCATAATGATACTTCACCTACAAATAAAAATTTACCCTTAGAAGTCAAGACAGGGTGTAGGAATCTGCAGAAAAATGGTTCTGATTCTTATAGACTTTCCTGTTTAAATGCTTTAGTTATACTGTTGTCTAAAGAAGATAGAACTAACTTAGGATTTTCAAGTGATGAATTGATGACTTGGTAAGCTCCTCTTTAATTTTTATTATAGGTAAACTCCCAAAGTTATCATTTTAAAATAATTCAATGTTTCATTTCTCAGTCTGTACATTGGTAAAAATATACAAATAATTTTTTTTGTTACCCACATTTGAACATTAACATTTTTTCTATTTATATATTCCACAATTGCATGAATTTTTAGTTGTTTAATTTTTAAAGAATTTTATACATTTTTTTATTTTATTTTAATTTATACATTAAATCAAGCCATGTTTATGGATATATCATGTTTATTTATAGTTTTACTTCCAAACAAACACAAGTATTTAAAATTTGGTTGTAAGCAAAAATAATTATTTTTAAATCCTTATGTAAACACTTAGGTGTTATACTAAATTAATAATGAAAGTGTGTTTTCACAGCATACGCAGTAGCCTGGTGGATGAGTCTATGGTCATTAGGGCTGCAGCATTAAGAGTTTTGCGGTATCTAATAAAAACTGAAAGTGATGTAGCTACATTCAATATTTTGAAATTACCACATATAGTCACAAGGTATTTATCCCAAAATGGCCTTATTTTATTAAAAGGACCCAATATTAATTAACATTCTACAGAATACAGAGTTTTATATAAATGTTAAAAAGTTTAGTATCTTAATAATTTCTTGTATTTACGCGATTACACATTATAAATGAAACTAATTTTATGGATTTATCGGACACAAAATCAATAATACAAAAACTGACGGTAGCCCGGGTTAACTTTGATAATCAGACGTCTAACACCTCAGTCTGTCCCGTGACCATGAACGCTGTAAAGGGTTCGAAACGTCGGGAACTAAAATTAAAAATAAACGCGATAAATCCGTAAAATTAGTTTCATTTATAGTTTAGTATCTTTATTAGATTTGCAACAAATATTTGGCTTCAGCATTGCTTTTGCTTGATTTGGTATTCAGCAACTATTTTATCATATTTATCAGAATACCAAAAAATTAAATAAGTTGATTTTTTAGAATAAATGGATAAAATGTGGATATTAATTTATTTTATAATATTGTCCATTTTCTTTTAGTTATTAAAATGTTAATAGTTATTGATTATACTAGACAAGATTTGAATAATTTTTATTTTCCTTGAAGTATGTCCATATAAGTGGTATTATTAGAGGCCATAAATCCATAATTGATTATTATTATTAGTGAGATTTTTCCCGAATTTTGATAGGGTTACGTAACAGTCTAAACTGTTGCATGAATGGAAGCATAATACTTCTGTGTTTTGTTTGGTGAGTGTGGTAGCCGGAGCCCACTTTATTTATGACAAACACTGTTTTTATATTTCCAATGTCTGTAAACTGAATTAATAAAAACACGCGGTGCGTCATGGAATGGAGGTATGTACATTTGCACCAACTAGAAAAAAATATTTTGATACATGTTTTTCCGCTTCTCGTCGGCACAATATTGCCTTATTATTTGACTGAATAGCCAGTAAGCCAGCCGAATATCTGCTATTCTGCAGGTGGTCCAATATACTTTTAAAAGAAAAAAAAATATAAAATAAATACTATTTATTGCAAGTCTAATCTTATTATTAATTCAAACATTTCTTACTTTATTCACCTAATTTTACTTTTTATGAATTAAATTTCCTGTATATTAATGAATACCATACCATTACTTTTAATAGGTCTATGGACTTAATGCTACGAAATGAAGAAGAACGTGCCCAAGCCTTACGAGTGGTTAGAAGAGTAATTGCTGTAGTGGGTGCACTAGAACAACCGTTAAGATATCATAGGGCAGCTTATATAGATCAAGGCTTACTGCGGTGCCTAACAGCCGTTGCTCGTGCAGGAAGTGCTGGTGATGGTACAGGGGACCGATTGTCTAGACCAGCCATAGCTACCTTGGCAGAGATTTGTAAGTTCAGTTTTTTAAGATAATATGATAAGAAGAATAGTATAGTCCATCAAGGCTAACTTATAAAAGAATAATTTAATTCCATATTTTTTCTGTTAAATAACATGATATGACAAATATTATTAAAAATTTGGTGGAATATTCATTTCTATCTTTCAAATAACTTTTTTCTTCTATTCTTATATATTAGGTCTGTATTTTATTGTGTTTTTATTTTGTATCAAGTAAGTTAAATCATTTCATACAAGATGGTACTTTGAATAACAGAAATAAAAAAGTTAAAATAAGCTGGATGGGACAAAATTCCTTAATTTCTGTGCCTGTTGAGCAACTCAAGGCAGGTCCACTCTACAGCGTGTCGTGACCATCGCGACTATAAATGAATACACGTCTAACGCTACTTGCCAATAATCATAAAAAAATATTAATGTTAAAAAAATCCATAATTAAAAACAATATTTTTCAAACAAACTAATTAAGTAAAAAAGAAACAAAATTTGTGACATCCTATACAACTCGCGCCACAGCGTCGTAGTACAAGCCACTCTTTCTAACAGTATGTTTTGTCTTTCATTCAACCCATTCATATGCTTTGTGACCTTTACAAATAAACTTTACGTTACAGTTTTATAGGTAAGGATGTTCTAAAACTCTTTGTTTTGGAAAATTTAATAACTCTGTAAATATTGATGTTTAAAGAATGTAAATGTTTAATACAATTTTAAAAAATTATCCCCTATATGTGTTTTCATTTATTGTCGCGATTGTAAAGACACGCTGTAGATGTTGCGCTGGCGATTGTTAAGTTTGTGGGGTACTCATCTATCAAGCTTTTTTATATATATAGAATAATAAAGTTAATATCTGACAATTCTTAATTATTTATTGTTTTATTATATTGTAAAGGATCTTTTGTCTTAAGATTAGTACATTTTTCATACGGAATTTTTTTATCAGATGCTTAAAGATGTTTAGAACCATCAAAATGTATTTCTTAATGTGAAGACATATTATTTAAATGTATTAAAGTACTTTATGTAATTTGTATTGTTTTACAGGTGTATTAAATCCAGACTTGTTCATCTCATGTGGTGGTGTAAATGCTGTGACAAGGCAATTGGCAGAATGTGCAACTCCACGCATGGCTGAAGCACTATGTGGGGTTTTGCTTCATACTCTCAATGAGCCTGGCTCACGTCGGGCCGCGAGAATCGATTTGACATGCCTAAATTCGCCATATTGTGACTTTCACTTTCGCCCTGCTGGAACTGATACTAACAGGTACATTCATTTAAATACATAAATTTTTGTGACTAAATGTCAATTGAAAATGAATGTGTTTAACTAATTAATAGTTTAACTTTTGTCTAAAAATGTTTATATACCAAACCTTTGAAGTGCCTGTAACTAGTATTACAAAGTCCAGTAACACGAAAGTGATATAGACATTTAAACTGTAGTTGAAGTTTTCATACTATTGGTTAGACAGTACAAAAATTACGTGATTGTCTATCTTTTGCATTAATGTTCTGTTGATGAAATAATATTTCATTTAAGACTAAGTAATCGAAATTTAGACGAGAAAGAAACTTACGAAGGTAAAAATGCAGCACCTGACTATCCCATTAACAGAGATGAGCGCGAGATGCGGTTCACTTGTAGTAGGCTGGCGCTTTTGTGCGTTCTTCGAAGTTGGCCAGGCTTATTGCACTTCTGCCATCCCTACAGTAAGGGTGGATTGCGCGCGTTGGTCGCTGCTCTATATTTGCCACGGTTAGAGGTCCGAGTGAGTACTTACTATCTTATACTTATAACCTTTTCTTTATTGCTAAAGCTACTATGATACTCAATTTATTTTACGATATCACATTGTGTAGAAAACCGATTTTAAGTTTTTGTTAGTTCTCTTAGTTTACTAATTCATCAATATAAAGTCTTCAATTTTACATCATTATTAAATTATTATCCTCCTATAAATTACAAATATTTAAAATTTTAGTCTTTTTATTCCTATTTTTAGTAAAAAAAAAATTAACACTGTATTGTCAGACCTCCCATCTTCAGTTTAAAACTGGCCTTTATCTCAGATATTATTTTACTATAAAACTACTTATACCATATAAAGGGGTTACTTCTTCTAACACTGATGCTCCTTCCAGAAGTTTTCTTAAATAATATGCGCATTCAATCATTGCAGTACCATTATTTTTCGTGAAAGTAGGTGGCAATCGAGCAGATAGTTCAGCTGATGGTAATTATTACTGCCGTCCAATATCTACAGCATCTGTGCGGTTGCAGTTGCATTGGCGACCTTTTATAGAGGTTAATAATCGAAAGTCAAAAGTGCAATCATTAATAATATTATTACCCCACATCAGTCGCCGGATAAGTCTCTCCAATCGTACAACAGCAAAGGCTTGGGTCTTACTAGACTATTGTCTTCTAATTTAAGCTATTCTATTTTATTTAAGGCATTCTTAAATTAGAAGACAATATTTGTCATTAGAGATTGAAAGAAAAAACAACAAGGCATTTATGTAAACTGTTCTAAAATCCTCTAGACATTTTCATAAATTTTTAAATAATATAAAGTAATATAAAAGTATTCGGCCTGTAGGTATGTGGCGGGAAAACTCGTACGACGTGATTGTTTTGTTCAGATGCACAAGCCATGCCCAACTTAATGGCTGCTTATTAAAGTAATAATTTTCAAAACTATTTTGTTAATTTTATAAAACTTCGTAGTTCTCGTTTTTAGAAAGCCATTTTGGACTTATTATATGAGTTAGTTGGATTACCACAACCTGAATGGACAGACGAGATTTCCGTGGCCTTGGATGCCGTTGACCCGTCGGATTTTCAGGTAGGCTTATGATTATATTTTTATTTTTAATTTATTTCTATAAGAAATACAGTTAACAAACATAGGTATATTAAACTGATACAAACATAAACTCTTAAGAGTTTACCATGTAACAGTATCATCAATCGTCTATACATAGGTACTACTATAAATCATAAATTATCATTTAACATAATAAGATGGTGATATGTATTTAGCATTTCGTTACAGTACACCCACATTGTGCAGATGAATCATTAAATTAATTACATGTTTTTGGTATAAAATAGTTTTAATATTACTACGTAAAAGTAATATTTAAAATATATTTAAATTTTCAGGACTCGTGGCGTCTGAACGAAGGTTTCGTGGCAGCTGAAGGCACTGCTATCCTACCTCACCTTAGTTCAACTGGGCCTGATATAATTGAAATTCACCTCGCCCTATTGCTCCAGTGTTTTCTAGAGGTATGGTGATATAATGGTAATGTATTCTTTTGTTGTTTCAAGCCATTACTGAAATAAAGTAAAAATAATATTAATGATCCTTAATAAAGTAATTGTCAAACAAAATAGAGCTGAGAGAATAGAGACAGAACGTTTGCAATCGATAATGTACTTGAGTTAAAGTTTTTTTGAATATAATGAACGAAAATATATTCGCCGCTGCGGAATTAAACCCACGCTCTTCTGGATTCGCGCCCAGACCTTTTAATTTTTTCGCTTTAACCAAATAGCCAAACGGGTGATTACCACATCGACGAAAGTTTGAACGTATTTTTTATTTTAATTTATATTGTTAATTTCGCATTTGAAGCAATGATAGAAATAAACAATAGATGCGCCAAGTAGACGTGGCGAATTGCAAACGGCAAGCGGCGACGGCAAGTAGAGTTGTTATTCAAAATGGCTTTCGTCCATCTTTTCTACAAAACTTTAATCTTTCATCCTATATGCAGAGGTAAGCACAAATAAAAATTAACTGATACACCAATCGAATTATCGCCGCAGGCTGGACTGTTGGACGGGTTGGCCGAAGTGATCGTGACGAGCGACACGTTCATATCTGTCCGCGCGACCGTGCTGCTGGGCCAGTTGTTGCATTTGATACACCTGTTCCTGCCGCCGCAAATATGCAACTCGACGCCGGCGCTGCCCTCGCTGATGTCGCAGGCATCGGCGGGGAAGCCCCAGGCGCTGGCGGCGGTCGCGGCCCTGAGGCGGCTGCACTCGATGCTGGAGGCGAGGCCGGCGAGCAGCAGCCTGTTCCTGGACCACATTATACAGTACTGCAGCGGTGCGTTCCGCGCCAGGGCCGAGGACGCGACCAAGAGCCGAAAAGAGAAGGACAACGCGAATATGGCCAAGCCGAGCCACGAGATGGCGCGCGGCGGCGGCAGCGTCGAGTTCCTCAACGAGTCGGACAGCGACGGTGAGCCGAAGCAGCGGCACAGCGTCGGCTCCCGCGCCGAAGTCGGCAGCAGGAACGTGAGCGCGCTGGTGAAGAGCAAGAGCGTCACATCGCGGACCCCTAGCAGGGTCTCCAAGTCGGCGAAGTTTTTCAGCCTGTTCGAGCGCGACAGCGACAGCTGGATCCGCTCCACGCTGGTGATGCAAAGCAAGGACGGAAAAACCTGGGACTGGGAGATCATTCGCACCATACTCAAGGTATATATTACACTCTTTTTACTAGTGGAAAATGGCAAAAGAGATAAATGCTTATTTAACTACCCCGCACTCATACTGAGGGATTTACTTTCATTCATTCTGTCTACACCGAAGGAGGAGATCGATTTGTCGGCGTCTGTCAGCGGTATGTCCAAGGCAAGAGTGAATAGGCTTTTATTGACCTCGTGTTTTTACCTTTTACGCTTGCGTCGCCACCAGGCGGGATAGCCTAGCACTAATCAACAAAAGCCAAGTACTCTCTTAAAACAGAGATGGACATCTACCTTTGCGGTTGTATTTTGCTTTAATATCTTTTTAGATATCGATTCTTCATAGGTCGCACTATGTTAGTTTTTCGACTCGACCCCTGTTCCAACGTGCTAATCTATGCCGTGCTTCCCTAGGAAACGGACGGCGCGCCCCTATTGAATTTGAACGACAGCGGCCATAAAGCGTGGGCGAGCCGCATCATAAGCTACCTGAAGCCATCGTCTAATAAGTATTCGCACGCGGACCTTTCGACCACCTGCAACGGCCACTCCGCCACGCGGGCCGGCTGCCAACTGATCAGACATTTGCTTCGTCATAACGACGTAAGTTCTTTTTAAGTATCGTTAAATTCAATATAGAAGCATTACAGTTAGTTATTGATTGTCTTATTTTGACTACTACCAGGTCGAAAAAGAAAAGTCAATAGCTGAGAAGTAGGCACAATATTTTTTTATATAAATTATAGTTTTTTTATCCTTAATTTGTTTCATTAATTTAAAATTTTATAATACAAGTAAACAATAGCATAGTAAGGTAACAAAGTACATTTTACAAATAAATAATAATTATTTAGGCCAAAATATTAATTTATTATGACCAATATTGATTTGCTCCTTTTAGTACTCTTGTTTTCAGTTGATCCTAAAGTTATCATATTTTTACAGACTGATTCACAGAAGTTGTTGGAGGAGTTATTCACGGATGTCAGTCGGCAGATCGAAGCCATTGAAACCGGTAAAAAGGCACATGAGTGCCTGTTCAGTCCTCAACACATGTGCAACACAATGTGCCAAATGTACTTCCTGTTTATTGGACAATTATGCCATTCACATGTTGGCCTAAAACTCTTCAAGCAAACAGGACTTTACAATAAGTAAGTGCGGTTAACAATCTGTGTTCATGAGTATCACTAATACTTTACTTTGTAGCAGAATACAGAATAAAAAATATTTAATTGGGGCTCCCATACAACAGACATGATTTTTTTGCTGTTTTTATAGACAATGGTATGGAACCCTTCTTACGCGAGTCCGACTCGCACTTTATTTCGTATTCGGTTTTATTTCATATTCGATACCAGCATCTAGAAGACTATATAAAATATACTTCCCCTCTACTATCCCCATTTGCACTCCTTTGCTCAAATTTTTTATTTATAAGCATTATTAAGTTAGCTTGGATCGTAAGAAGCAATCAAATCATTCAAAGATTTATTATTAATGTGATAATGAAAATACTGTGCTAGCGACCTGCAAACAAGCAGATAGTTTACCTGATGTTAATTGATCACTGCTACCAACCGCAGGGTTGTAGAATTCATTTTTTTGTGGACCTTTAAAAAAGCGGCCTCTTACTCAACTCACCAGTAAAGGCAAAATATATAAGTACCACTTCATGCTGCTCTTCTGTGAGGCTGTGGTACTTCCCAGCAAGTTAAAATGTATTCTGTTAATATTTATGTCATATTATATTATGTTTAATTTCTATCGGCAGTCTCCTGGAGCTATCGACAAAGACTCACCACAGTTGTTACGTGAAGCTGGTCATATCCAGCCTGGACTACACAATGGATTCCAGTCCGCGCGACATACTAGCCAAAACCCTCACGTGCAGCATCCAGGCGTCCAGACTGTACGCGACCCAGTTCCTGAACGTACTCCTGCGGGCGTCCAGAAGCTCGCGCGAGCTGGTCCGAAAGAAGTCCAAGCTCAAAAAGAACTACACGCAGGACCAGTGGAGGCACATTTATAGAGATGACGTTGACGGGACCAACGCCGTCGACATGGACACTTGGTTACTCCAAATGCTGGTCGGCCAGGTGAAGGACGAATCCAAGAAGGTCGTGAAATGCGCTTTGTCGATTTTGGAGGAGGCTTATAGTGTGCCGGTGAGCAGTTTTCTTGTAATTTAGAATGTTTGTTAGCTGCACGAAAAGAAAAATCTACTGTTCTACAAATATAACTGACTAATCTTTATATTAACGACACGATTGCCGTAGTCAGTGCCTCTTACGCCAGAGGGTGGGCGTTCGATCCTCACTACTGGAAAAATATTTTCTGATGAACATAGTGTTTTTTCCAGGGTCTGGGTGTTTATTTACGTATAATATGAATTTATTTACAAAAGATCATTTTGTTTAAGTATGTTCATCAGTTTTCTAGTATCTACAGTATAAGCGTACAAAAGGTATATATAATAAGTACAAAATTTTACACCTAGTCCCAAGCTAAGCAAAGTTTGGGACTAGGAAAAATGTTTCCAAAAATATTTATTTATTCTTTTATAAACAGTGTTTTTATAGAACTTGTTGGTAAACGCTAAAAAACCTGTGCTTTCGCACTTGATCATAATTATATCTGCTTTATTGTTTAAAATAAAAATGCTACTATAGAAAGCAAAGTTTCACACTGGTTTAGCTTGTGTGGAGTACAGTAAAACTGATATTTATATTTTAGATTGTGCTTGTGTTTTTTTAAATATTATTTTTATTATCTTTTTGTTATTCAGGCCTTCCTAGAGAAACTTATGACGATAAAAGACACCTTCGGCCAGAATTGTCGTCTGGATAGGAACGTGGATCCCTCGACCTTAGACTTCAGCGTTGTAGGCGACAGATGCTATTTGTTATGGTTGGGACTGGAAATCGCCGCTACTGCCCAATCAACTGATTCAAAATCTATAGCATTTCTGAAGAAACATTTGGATTTTTGGACTAAATCGTATAATTATCGGTGAGTAATACTAATTTTATAAACTTTATTTTTTACTTTTTTAAAAGTTGGCAATGCATCTGCAATCCCCCGGCAATTGTAAATGCCTATGAGTGGCAGTAATCAGTAAATGAAAACTGAAAATGAATTAATAAATGTGGTGCAAATTGGCATCGTCTACATAAACATAGAAAATAAAATCAATCCGATGAAAGTACATCTGTAGTACGTACCAAGTACCCCGCTCTTGTAACGTCGGGGGTCTTGGGTTCGATCCCCACACGGGACAACTATTTGTGTGTTATTTCGCATCTGGGTGTTTTCCCTCGTGAAATTTATGTTTGTAAAACGTCCTTACAACACAGGATAATGTTATCCTAAAGTATTAGGGCAATGTAAAAAAAAATATATACAGCGTGTCTTTACCATCGCGACAATAAATGAACACACATATAGAGGATAACTTTTTAAAATTGTATTAAAGATTTACATTCTTTAAACATCAATATCTACGTACAAAACTGTAACGTAGTTCACTTGTAAAGGTCACAAAGCATATGAATGGGTTGAATGAATTTAAAAGAGACAAAACATACTGTTAGAAGGAGAGGCTTGTAATGCGGCGCTGTGGCAACGAATGAAAAAGTCTCTGAATGTATGAATCAGTCAGATGTAGTTGTATAGGAAGTTACAAATTTTGTTGCTTTTTTACTTAATTAGTTTGTTTGAAAAATAGTTTTTTTAATTATGGATTTTTTTAACGTTAATATTTTTTATGATTATTGGCAAGTAGCGTTAGACGTGTGTTCATTTATTGTCGCGGTGGTAAAGACACGCTGTATACACACACACACACACAAGTAATACATAAATGCATACACGCAGATATGTGCGGCTAGTGGAGGCGGGCGTGCACGAGGCTCTAACGCTGTGCGACGGAGCGCGGCGGCCTCGCGCGGCACGCCGCTCGGCGCGCCCCCCGCCGCACATGCTCGCCGCGCTCGCCGCACTCGCCGCGCCCGCGCGCGCTCTTCTCGCCGCCGCGCTGCCCGCCCACTACAAGGTGCGCTGCATAAACATTTTTTTTTACGTGACAAGCGAGCTAGCGGTTAACCTGATGTTAAGTGATAACCGACGCCCATGGACATTTGCAACCGCGTAGGGTTGCCGATGCGTTGCCGTCTTTAATAAAGTGGGCTCAGGTTACCTCACTCACCAGACGAAACGCAGAAGTATAACACTCCTACTTCACGTCGGTCTATTTTGAGGTCGTGGTACTCCCCCAGTCGGACCAGCCCATTACAATAGCGAAAACTGTTGCGAGGCCCTACCACAGTTTTTTCACAATACGCCGGCTCCGCACGGGAAAAAAATGAACTATCACTTTAAAAACAGATACAAACCAAAATTCAATTGTTTCTAGTTTACAAAATAAATGTAATATATATGTTACGCTAAAATATAGCTTCTAACGTTCGTACATAGAACGTTAGAAGCTATATTTTAGCGTAACAAAATAAAAAGTAACTAAAAATTTTATCCCGTGGGCCAGTAGTTTTTGTTTGTGAATAAAAGGCATTACATCCAATTGATAACGGTTTAATTAAATAACTTGGAATTGCAAGTAAATTTAAAAAGATGTTATTGTTTGCCTTGGCCATGAACTTGTTGTCGCTTTAGCTGTCACGCATTATAAAAATTCATTCTTATAACTTTTCCCTAATGCAGCAAAAAAAGCTTAACTTTAAAAAACTAACGTGTTGTAAAATAATAGCATTAGTAGGGTGTAGGCTGTTCACTATTATATATTCAATATTTTCGAGACGTTAAGTCATCGGCAGGCTACCTTAGTTGGTAAAGCATCTGCAGCGCGTAAAGTTTTTGTCAATTTATCTATAAAAATTTGCAATTTAATTTTCATCTTAAAATAATTAAAAAAACATAATAATAATTTTCTTGTGAACTTCTTTCTATAATTATAATACCAAAGTTAAATTACTATGTTTTCATACAGAAGATCAATTAAATTTTCCGAGACCGTCGCAATCAGCGCACTGCTCGATTTACAGGTACTGCAGGGCAAGAAGTGCGCGACCGAGCAGGAGATAGTGGAGCTGAAGGCGTCGCTGTGGGCGGTGGGCAACGCGGCGCTCACCAGCCAGGGTCTGCAGCAGCTGATGGGCCTCAGCGGCGGGTACCTCGAGGAGTCCGTCCCCGTGCACGTGGTGCGGCTCGCCAAGCACTGCCCGGTGTACGCGGTGCGCGCCACGGCCTTCTACGCGCTCGGCCTCATCGGCAGCACCTACGAGGGCGCGAACCTACTCGCCGATCTGGGTGCGAACGAATATTTATAACATTACGAATATTCATAATATATTTTATACGAATATTTATAATGATATAATTCACGGTGGTAGGGTCACGCAGCAGCCTCGGCTGTTGCTCGTACGGGTAAGTACCACGACGTCACAGAAGACCGGCGTAAAGTGGAAGTATTACACTTTCGCGTTTCGTCTGGTGAGTGAGGTGGCCGGAGCCCAATTTTCAAACGGTTGTTGTCAACGCATCTGGAACCCCCGGGTGTAGTAGATGTCCATGGGCGGCGGTATTCACTTAAGATCAGGTGAGCCATCTGCTCGCTTGGCAACTTTCCACATAAATAAAAAACAAAATGAAAGAATAAGGCTGTAGTAACAATTGGCTGAGTGCGATCTTTATCTATATAAATTGGCGTTGCACGGATTCGAACTGAGTTTTCTGGCCATTCTGTGGGCGTGAGGATATCGGCCGATTAGTACAGCTGGCTAGAGTCTGGCAGGTCCGTACCCTGGCGGCGCCGGAAATAAAATTTCGACGGTTTATCGATTTATCCCACATTTCAATTTCATTTTGGGTGCAGAAAAAAAGTCTAAATTCTTAATTAGGATTTTATGATAATATAAGTTACAAGAATTTCATGACCCTATTAGAAAATCTCCCCAAGCATGACTTAGTCTGATTCTCTGTATTCAAACCTCATCTCTGAATAATGCAGTATACACATATATATGCATCAATATATATTACAGAAATCATGTATAATATAATCATGTGACTACTAAAATCACTTGTGATTAGAAACGATTTGTATCGAAGATTTGATAACTTTTGACTATGAGACCACTATTTCGACGAACTTGTTATCTCTATCGCTTCATTCGAAACAATCTTTGTAACGTCGCGCCAAACCGTGCAGGCTGGCTGTGCGTGAGGCACACGCGCCAGGACCAGTTCCCGATAATACCGGACGAGGGCCTCCCGCCGCCCGCGGGCCCCGCGAGGAACGCGAGCTACTACATCACGTCACCCGAGCGCCGCTACGCGTTCGACATGGACCTGAGCGAGCACTCGGACCACACCGACCAGAGCACCGCGGAGAGCGTGCACTCGGAGGGGGCGCGGCTCGCGAACAAGCTCGTCGAGCACGACGCCGAGCACAGGGCGTGCTACGCGGACAAGCGCAAGTCGCACACGCTGCCCACGCAGGGCTACGCCGCTACGCACGACCGACCCGCGCTCACCGAGTCGCGGACGGTGGACATTCTGCGCGACTGCTCCGGCTACGAGCGGCCCGCTACGGGCCGACCGCACGTGGAGAGCAGGCTGCTGCTCGGCAGGATGAACTCGCTCGAGCACGCGCACGAGGGCCGCGTGAGGAACACCAGCGAATCGAGCACCAGCGGGGTGAGCAGCTGCGACTCGGTGCTCGGAAAGTACGCCATACCGTAAGTTACAAGATTACACTTTGTTGCTAACAAACAATATGGCTCGAAACTACACTCAATGCTTACAATGCTCTCTTTCAGAAATGTGATGTAGATATATATTCTGAAATGCAACGGTATTGAGGAAAAAAATATAAATGAAATGGTAGATGGCGCCGAGCGTCGTGGGCTCGATTACAACACGACGCAACTATTTCTGTGACCAACAGATAACTGTTTCGAACATGGGTTTTTGTCCACATGAAATTTATAACATGTGTTTAAAACATCGGGGAAGTACAATGGCTTTACTTATTACACACGTTAGACCAACGTGAAGTGGAAATATACTTCCCTTTTCATCTCTTACATTTTTTAAGATTGTTACATTTTGTTAAAGACTATATAGATTTTGGTAAAGAATCTGTAATGCCTTGGGTGTTGTAGGTTCCGTGAGCAGCTGTAATCTTAACATCATGTGAACCACCTGTTTGCTTGCTAACTTTTCAAATGAAGAAATATGTTTGATTGTATGTCCTTTTCTTCATTTGTTTAGATTATGATCTTCTAGGTAATACTCTATTCTAAATCTAAATATCCCACAAACTATCTAAATAATGCCATGATTTCGATTTGTTTTAGTGATAGAATATTGACGCTTAGTCCCATACCAAGTTCCTCAAGTCTGTACGGTATGAAAAGCAGCAGCAGCTCGCAACGTCCAAGACTATCAGAGTCCCAGCGCAGAACTTCCACCTCAAGTGAGTTTATCAAATAAGTGAAAAAATAAAAATTCTTTATAAATTTCAAATTCATTAAAATATTATGAAAATAATCTTCTTAAATTATTTCCATTTTTTTCAATTTTCCAATATCCCATTTCGAGGTCTATTTTCTCTTATGCTTTTTGTTAAACATTCACATTCACAAAAATAGTTTTATAGTAATTGATCATATTACGACAATGACTTAAGGAATAAATATTGCCGGTATACTAGTGTAGTAGTCCTTTATTGCCATTGTCTTAATAAACAGGTGCTTTTAATAACATAGTTCAATATTGTACTATATTCAATACAATATGAAAATACCTAATGTAAAAAGTTTTCAAAACTTCATGTAATTAGGGGAACTATTTCAGGTTTCTCAACATCTGAAGTGGCTAGTTCACCACCTACGCAGATGGACATGTCCGGTTATGCTACTCTCAAGTCAATAAACAAACATAGAAGGTAAGATTAAAATATAAATAGTTAAATTATCAGATGTTCACATAACATCTCACATACTATCGAGTTCTGTTCTTAGTAACATGTGGATAGCTTGATATACTCTTTATAGGCATATAAAAGATAAGTAATTTTTTTTTATCAAATGCAATTTATATTTCCACTACATACATTATGATTTTAAATACATTTTTATGTCTGTTCAATATTAAACATTTTATTGGTGTTTGTCATGACGATTCCTAAATGTTATATAGAAAAAAGTTTTGTTTGCAACCAACTTCATCATGTCGATGTCAGTGTTCGCGCGCAACGTAAAAATTTTATTAAACGCGCCTTTTTCAAAACGCACCAAAAGAAGTTGAAAAAAAGTAACATTTTTTAATTGCTAAAAAGAACTTATTTTCGGAGTTTACACATTAGGCAATTCGTTCATTAATTTTATTTAATAATGTGTAGTGTTCGCGAATATTGACAAAAACAAGAAATCACAAAATAAAATTACTACTTACAGACCTCATTTGTCGGAAAGCGCTGCGTCTGGGTCCAGTGATATTGACGACTTGAATTGGATCCTCTCCGATTGGAACCGCCGGTCGAAGCCATTTTCGTCACTAAGGGACAGAGCAAAATCTACTAGGGAAAGGATGACTAAACTAAGGTAATTTCCTTTTCCGTAGCCAAACAAACAAACGTAAAAATATCTAAAGACATACAAAGATATATATCCCATTCTTACATAGATCAAATTCTTATATTTCTAACTGCGGTATGGCCACGCAACAGTCTTCATTGTTGCATGAATAGGCAGGTCCGTGCGGGGAAGTACCAAAGCCTTGCAAAAGACCGGCGTGAAGCGCAAGTGTTGCAAATGTCCATGGGCGGAATGTAGTGTTGTCGAATTCATTATATCATTGTGATGTTAAGCGATTATCGCTGAACATGGACAATTAAACATCGTGCTTGTAAATGCGCTGACTACTTTACAAATGTGGGCCCCGGCGACGTAAAGTTGAAGTGTTAATTAAAAGGTGGCGACGCATCTGCCAACCTACGGGTGTTGCAAATGTCAATGGGTGGCGGTCATCACTTAGTCGGCCAAACCATCCGCTCATTTGCCACCTTTTTACATAAAAGAAAGACCGCACTCACCAAACGAAACGCGATAGTATAATACTTCCCCATCACGCTGGTGTTCCGAGGCCGTGGTACTTCCCCGGATGAGTTGCCGATTGGCGTAACAGCAGAAGCTACCTAAGTAATAAGATCAGCGTTTTCATGAATTTGCAGCCTGTTGGAGTACGACTGGAAGCTGCTGCCGTTCGCCGAGAGCGCCAGGGCTTCGCCCCCGCCGCCGCCCCGGGAGCGCCGCTCGCCCGCGCAGCCCCACACGCCCCACGGACCCCACCACCCACACCCACACCCACACCCCCCTCAACCCCCACACCCTCCGCACTCCGCGCACCCATCGCACTTGCCGCAGCCCCCGCCCTATATCGGCATCTGTCTGCCCAGAGATCTCATGGAACTGTTTCCGAGGTGAGTCTTTGATTTATTGACGATTCGGTTTGCCAATTGCAACGTGAGAGCTCCTGCTGTCGATTGACAGGACTGCCACTGCCTCAAAGTGGATGTTTATATTATTCCTTTATAACCAACTACTGACCCGCCCCGGCTTTGCACGGGTGCAATGTATGCAATAAACCAAACAAACGGAGAATCACTATCTATTACTGAAAACCGCATTACAATCCGTTGAGTATTTTAAAAGTCAAAGCATACGAATTCGGGAGTGGATTCGTTTTGTTGTAAAGATATGGTTGTCCGCAACTGCGAATCATTGTTTCGTGGGTTCTTAGGAGGTGAACCTAAAAGTACTAACTCTCTTAAGAAATTATTCTTGCAGAATGGGCAGATAAAACTAAAACGTATTTCCTTTTATTATGTATAATCGCATTACTTACTATTTACTAGTTTACTATTTTCTTTGCACTCAAGATAAAATTTAAAATTGTCGTAGAAAAATTACTTGTGAAGAATAACCTGTAAACGTACGTTCGCTTCTGAACAAAAAATATCAAAAATTATATTTAGAATTTTTTTTAGATAATTTTGCCCCAAAAAATTTGCGATTCTAATTTTACTCCGTTTAAATATTAAACCTTTCAAATGTATGGTAATCTATGATTTTGTTTTGTATCTAAAATATAAATTACAAATCGATTATAATTTTTACTTGTCGCTTCTAGAGAAGAAGATGACAAAGAGAGCGCCGAAGCCATTGAAAGCTACCGTAGTGCTCACTTTGTTCGCAGCAGGGTCAACTTGTTTCCAGCGGAAGCGAGTTCGGAGCATAAGTTAAGACCAACACTCGATCAGCATACCGTCGCGCATAAAGGTACATTATTAATTTTGACTTCTAGGTATTCTATTTATGACTTGAGACCCGATTATAGTGGACAGTGAACCTGTCTATTACGAGAGAGGGTATGGGTTCGATCCCCAGTACCTTTCGTACACGAGCACGTTTTACAAACATAAATTTCACGCGGCCAAACACCCAGATGCGAAACAACTATCTGTGGGTCACACAAATAGTTGTCCCGTGTGGGAAGCGAACCCACGACCCCCGACGCCGAAGCCAATACCTTGGCCACTGTGCCACGGCGTCATCTATTAAATATATTTTATGGTAAAATTTTTAGGTAAAGCATTATTGTCACAGGCGTTAAGTGGGGAAGGAGGCGTGCAAAATGTACAATATGTACATTTTGCACGTCTCCACAACAAAGTTTTTTCTTATAAGTAAAAAATTATAAATTTTCTATCAGTCAATATGATTAAATCGGTTACTACGACAGGGCAGCATGAAATTGCAGATGACTATAATTACCGATCGCAATCTATTTATTCACTACCACTGTATTAGATGAAATTTCTTTTTTAAACTGTGCTTTCGCTTGGATACAGCTTAGAAAAAGATTCTAACATTCATTCGTATGCTTATTCGCCATTATTTTGTTTGTTAAGAGTACTTAAATCTTTATAATCATTTAAATTTTTGTGCTCACGTGATCATTTTCACAAGTAAAAATACGAGGAGAGGAGAGATAAGTCTCCTTATCAAATTTTTTTGTTTAAGCCAATTCTGCATTTTGTTAAATAAAACTGTTTTAGGTATTTTTATTGATTTGTGTTCAAATCTTCTTGATTTTAAAAAGTTGGTAAAATTATAAAGCCCTAAAATTTACTTGTTTTATTCGTCACTTTTTTATTATCCCTTAGAATTTACCGCGATGCCGTCCACATCGTTTAACAAGAGCGAACAAATCACGATCGCGGCTCACCACCATATAGGCGATAATATAAATTTCTTCCTTCCCGACGACAACGCGAAAGACGCCAGATCAGACGACAGCTCCACGGCGAAAATCGATCCGGGATACGACACCGAGAAATCGAACGATTACGGGTATCCAAATAAACGGGACATTCCCGACGCAAACGTCCCGTCCGGGGAATATCGCGAGGAGTGTACGACGAAAGCGGAAATCGTGGACATCGCAGCGATATTGTCGGTCGACGCCGCCCCGAAAGCCGCCTTTTCGCCGGATCACGTTGACGGCGAAATCTTTAACGTTTTGCCGACGAGCGGTGGTGTGGATTTCGACGTTGGTGGCATGAGAAATAAGGTCGAAACGAAAGTGGCGGACACCGAGAGAGTTGCGGGAAAAGTAGAACAGACCATCGGCGCCACAAACTCGGTGACGTTCTCTGGGAAAGTTGAGGCCACCAGAGGGCGTTGGAGGCATTCAACCAGCGACTGTTTGGCGTGCGTGCAAACACGGCCTCCGTCCTCCCACGAGCTGCGCGAAGCGTTTTTCGCTGGTAAGATACAAGTGTATAAAAAGCACTTCTGCGCGTGGCCCTACCACTCTCACGGTGGTAGGGCCACGCAGTAGCCTCGGCTGTTGCGCGAATGCGCTGGCTCGTCCTAGTAAGTACCACGTCCTCACAGAAGACCGGCGTAAAGTGGAAATATAATACTTTCGCGTTTCGTCTGGTGAGTGAGGTGGCCGGAGCCCAATTTTCAAAGGTTATCAACGCATCTGGAACCCTCGGGTGTAGCAGATGTCCATGGGCGGTGGTTCACTTAACATCAGGTGAACCGTCTGCTGGCTTTTATATATAAAAAAAAATTCCGCCTGTTAGAGTCCACTACTTAACATATGCCTCACCCAAAGACTGCCACTAAGCACGAGCAGATGAACCACCTGCATCCATCGACTTCCCGCTCATTTGCGCACAGCTCGTCTCTCCTTCTATCGGGAGGTCGACCTACAGTGTACTCTTAGATGTTTCTAATCCAGCTGTATTGTGCTGTTACGAGATGATAAAGTCAGGCAATGGGTTTGATTCCTACACTTGACAAGTATTTGTGTGAGTGTTATTGTTTCAGCAGTACCTACATATAATAAAATTGTAACTTTTATATAACTTTTAATGAGTCCCCTTAAGTGCAGAGTAGCACTATAACAATTTTAATTTCATACAGCAGTGACCACATTTCCACATAAACATAAAGTGACATAAGTAAACATTTAGTGGGTTAAATCGGGGTATGTCTTAATAGTTATCTATAAATAATTCTAGTTCTTATCATTATATCTTCTGAGTTACTGATACACTTATCTTAGTTTGAATTATATTAATATTTCTTTTTCAGCCATGGACATAGGAGGAGGCAATAATACAGAAATACGAAGTAGAACATGCAGTTTGTCTAGTGAAACAATATCACCACAGGCTGAAGTCCTTCATCATGTGCACTTTATGTCTAATCCAATACATTTAAGACAAGTAAGGTTATTTTGTTATTCAGACTAAATAAACTAAGTCCTAGATTAAAATGAGCTTGGATCTGCAGCATGAATGGATAATTTTGAGAAAGGTTCGTCAGGTTCGAGCCATTGGGCGATATCATATATTTATACATCGTGTCGTTACCATCGCGACAATAAATGAACACACGTCTAACACTACTTGCCAATAATCATAAAAAAATATTAACGTTAAACAAAATCCATAATTAAAGAAAAATATTTTTCAAGCAAACTAATTAAGTAAAAAAGAAACAAAATTTGTAACATCCTATACAACTCGCGCCACAGCGTCGTATTACAAGCCTCTACTTCTAACAGTATTGTGTCTCTTTTAAATTCATTCAACCCATTCATATGCTTTGTGACTTTTACAAATGAACTTTACGTTACGTTTTTATAGGTAAGGGTGTTCTAAAATTCTTTGTTTTGGAAAATTTAATAACTCTGTAAATATTGGTGTTTAAAGAATTTAAATGTTTAATACAACTTTAAAAACTTATCCCCTATATGTGTGTTTATTTATTGTCGCGACGGTAACGACATGCTGTATGTTTGTATTTATGTTATAAAACGTATATAGAAAATATATAAATAATGACCGGGTGATTATATAGACGACGGACATATTAACAAAGCATATGCAGAATTTGATTCTAAATCGAACCTGGTACGTACTTGTGACCTTTATTCTATTTTCAAAGATTATTTTTAATTGTTTCAAACATTATGGACAACCTATCAGAAATTCCTGCCTTACCGTCTCAATACACTAACTTAGCCGTTAATCGCACTGTGCCGTTGCTCTGTTTTGTCTTACGACATTTAAAATGTTTTTCTCTACTGCGTTATTAATATCGCGTTTTCAAGAACGCTCTGAAGAGAACAGAGAGCCAGGGAGAAATTTCCATGGGCCTCACCCAGTCACATGTCCTCATTCTCGAGCACTAAAACTGTTCGCTGAAAGCATAATTACTAAACCGCTTATCAATTTTAATCACTGAAAAACTAGTCAATTCTTTATGAAGCGTATTATGCAAACAATGTTTACCGCAAAACGAATCAAGAAATAGTGAATGATAGTAGGAAGTAGACGTACGGCATAAATCACATCTGTCAACGGAAGCCGCGTCAGCGAATCACGCTCGCGGGATTTGCACATTTTTTGGGTGCGTTGCACTAAGTAAAATGCTCCTTTGATCGTTCCTCATAACGACCGCGGTCATTGTGGTCGCGGCGAAAATGTCACTCATGGCGTCATTACTTAAGGTGAGTGTAGACTACAACATTTTCTGTGTAATGTAACGTTCTTACGAATGGTACAATACACGCAAAAGCTCAGTTTCCAAAGCATTTCCATGCAATGTACCGTTCCTGCGAATGCTCGGCGTTATGTTACGCGTAAATGCTCACAGCGAGTGTGCATTTACCAACATTTCGTTGTACCTTGCGTTCATTCTTTTTTGAAATTTCGGACCTACAAGTTGCTTGTGCTGCGTTTATCTTGATGAATTGTATTAGAAGAAAAAAGAAAAATAGAAATCGCATCCGCGCATCGCCCGCACTCGTGACTCGACGAAATGTTACACCAATACGCTCGACGAAATGTTACACCAATATGCAATATGGTTTGTAACAAACAGGCGAGCGTGCTCAACGTTTAGTTCGTGAAAGGATGATACACTAGAACATATACATACATATCATAGAGCGGCTCGTTGTTCTGTTACAAGTAAATGTTGTAATCTGTACTCACCTATACGCTCACGCGAAGCTCACGACGACTCATCTGAAAAGGTGGGTCGAAGTGATCGTTGAGAAAATTAGCGGCATTAAGAAACTTACGTAAAAATAAATTATATTCGCGAAAAAATATGATAGGTAAAGTTGTTTACTAGTGTTTACTAGTAAACAACTTTACCTATCATATCATACCTAGAATTTAATTTGTTTTTTCCAGTCTCTATTGTGGAGGCCCGGGGCAGTAGCCCCTGTTGCCCTCTCCTAAATCCGGCTCTGTGCACACGCACCTACAATCTGCAGACTGTAGAGTGATCGCTCTTATTGGGATAAACAAACAATATTTGAATTGATATTTTTCTGGTTATAACTTGTCAAAATAAAATATTAATATTTTTTTTGAATTTTGGAATGTTCAATTAACATGTCAAAGTATGTCCGTCGTCTAAAAAATCATCCTGTAAACAAAATAAAACACAAAGTCTGTACCGAATAAAAGTGGATGGAACATTCATTGCACTGCAAGAGTGACTTAATAATAAATAGCAGTTACAATCAATTCATATTTAAATAATTATATTAATTTTTATTGTATTCCTTTTAACAGGCACGTTCTACATTGATTTCGTTGAAGCAGCGCTATCCGGAAGTTTTTCGCTGTCCATGCGTTTATTCTGATGTATGCGCTTTGTTGGCGAGGGACACATATATGCTGTGCGCGCGGCGTTTCCTACAGGAGTTGTTCTTAGATGTCAGTTTCGACTGTTTCACCAGCGAACCAACAAAGATTCTCTCCCGTCACGGAACCATACTATCGCCCACTTTAATGAAACAACAATAAAGTTGGATTAAGTTCACCTTGCGTGAAAAAGAATTACAGCCATATATTGTGTGGAGGCAATGTATATTCAATATTCGCTAACCAGCTTTCTCCTTTAATAATAAATTCAGTACACCAATGTGTCATGACTATAAAACTCTCTTTGATCAGGTTTCCGGTTCTTTTTCTTTTAATTTTTTTGCGACTGAAATTTCCTTCTGCTCACTTAAAACTTGATCCATAAATTTGTGCAGACATTTCTTGTTCCTCAATAAAATACTTAAAAGAAACATACAGGCAATTAAATATATGAAATATTATTGTAAATTAGTTACCTATAATGATTTAACTGCAAAGTTTTTTTTGTAAATAATGATAGAAGAAACGGTGATACATTGGTACATACAATGAGTAGCTATATTACAAAGAATTTCTAGATAGGAATGTCTCATTTTCTTTTCAACACACAGTCAGTTAATTCGTGACTATCATTCCGAAAACAAACTGCCACTATAGTTTTAAACATTTTGTATGTTTTTGACACAATAAGGTCAAATTTAATTTGATATCTTTTTGTCTCTCGGGTATATATTGTCAAAAACAGTCAATTGAGTTGCAGCAGCATTGCTTATAATTAAATTCTACTTTATCACCAATTAGTCTACTTCAAAAATTTACTGTGTACAATTAAAATTTTACTGTTAACCTATTTAAAATTCTGCCGAAACTGTTTAGTTTTATCTATACCATTTAACTGCTTGTAATCTAAACTGATATATGATGTGATACTTTATTGTTCTTTTTTCCCCAAAAAAATGTACTTGTTTATAAGTGTTATAATTGTATAACATGCCATAAACATGTATTTAATATAAAATAACTATTACTACTTTAGGCTGCTAATTATTGATTTGTGATATACACACATTATTATTGCATAAACCCACGTGTTATACATACATATATAAAAGAGTAGTTTTTCTTTAGACTAGATCGTCATTGTTCCTTAATAAAATAATTAGTTTTCGCTTTCACTATTAACACGACATTGCAATAATACTATAGGTGCATTTACATTTTCATGTATATACAAATATTTATATTACTTTGTAAGTTATACCAATTTCACTTGCTGACTTATAGTTTTGGGTATAATGAAATGCAATTTCATATTTAACTACAGTGTCACAATCAGAACCCAATAGAAAAAATAATATAAGGCCATATTTGTACTCTAAAACTCTTCAAACAACTACAGTATGACATTATCATTTGACTGTGATATGAACATGGTCTAATAGATGGCTTTCTTTTAATCTTATCTCATATAATGACAATAGTATAGGTACAAGGAATCTACTCTGGTTTATAAGAGTTATTCTAGTGATATTTCCCCCACCTGTGGTAATGATAAAACAAGTCTCCCAATTTGTGCAAATAATGATTTTATGCCATTGTGTTCAATTTTTATAACATTTATTGCATGTGCATTTATTCTCTTACTTCTCAACCGTGAAATTTAAAAGAAAATAGTTTGTTGTTTATTGATATCTATAAGTATTAAATAACTAGGGGAAATTGGTTGTCACATAGATAAATCATTGTTAGTCTCAAGAATAATTATAGGTTTAGGTACCCTTTTGCTTTGTTATTAAGTTGAACGTCAAATTAGGGTCTTTCGAATTAGAAAGTTCTCAAAGATATGTTGCAGTATTCCTATGTTATGCACACTGTTTTACTATAGTTATTTTTTTCTGATAATCCTCGACATTTGCATTTATACTTTAGGTTTAATTTCCCGTAGTTTTGTGTTACAATGAAGTCAGTGGTTCCGTCGTAAATGCTAGTCTATAAAGTATACGAACTGCGTATATTTTCACGTTATGTTACATTGTAAATATAATATGTATTTTTGTTGTTTGAAAACACAGTGTAGAATAATGCGGTCCTGTAGATATATACAGTTGATACAGTTAAATGCGAAATAGCAATGCCATTTGGCTGGTTCCTGAAAATTGTAATACATATTTACAGTCTGAAATAAAATATTGTTTGGTGGTTTGCCTCATCACTTGTAATGTGTAATCAATATATAATTTTTATACTATTTCTGTGTTTATATTATTTGATAATTTGTTTTGTTTATTTAACTTTTTGGCCACATCTGATTTCAGTGCAACCGGCTAAAGATTAAAAAAAGTAGGGTATTTTAGTCCACTCTCCTTGGGAACGATTACCCAGATGGGAATAATTATCTGTTGGTCACCTTAGGGTTACCCAAGTATTAGCACTTGGTCGCTGTGGGAATCGAACCCATGAACCCCGGGCGCCGTAGCCAGTGGCTTAGCATCTGCGACATCGTTCAAGAGATATCGAATAAATTTTTTTTCTTCAAATATATTCGAAGTACACAAGTACAAAATATATTCGATTGTACTAATCCATTTAATTCGTTTCGCAAACGAAAAGGCGTTTAATTCTATAATTCGTAAAACGTCATTTGGTGTACCTACTAAACATCATAATCAGTTAATTCATTTGCGAAATATCGATGCCGAAAAATATAGACAAATCAATTTACCTCATTTTTCCTTGGATAACTCATAATACGATAAACGAAATGTTTCTAAAATTATATCAGATCTTCGCCTCCTCATCCTCCTTTCTTAATAGTAGTCACAAAACTACTGCTTACTGATTTTTCTCGAACAGTACTAATGCTATTTTATACTCCTAATTTACTACTAATGCTAATATGTCGTTAACGGGCCCAAAATGAAAACATGAAAACGTCTCAATTGTCAAAATGTCGTTTTTTTAGTTCACATTAGGCAGGGCGGCTAGTAAGACCTAATAAATACGCCGTCGTGCCTCTTTAAAAGTTGTACCAAGTACGACAAGTTAACAAATTACAAGGGATCCCTGTACATAATGCAATATATCTTCGATTTCAATTATTTTCCTAATATTTTAATTTGTGTAGATTGAAAGACGGATGCATCTCCAGATTTACGATTATGGTCCAGCTACGATGTAGAAGGCTGTTTATCATCGTTTCTGCACAGTTCTCTCTTATTTATTTCTGTCTATTAATTAATGATATCATCACGGTTTCAACGTTATACTCTGTAATACACGAACATAAACGTAACATACCGTCTAATTGCAATTTAAATCTTTGTGCAAGCAGTGCAGTAGTTTAGTGTTAGTGTTGTGCTCGTAGGCAGGTTCCTGTTCTGTAAGTACAATTCTATACACACTTCTCGCCTCAGAGGCGGCATTGTTTTATTTAATAACTGTGTGCTTGTTGCGATAGGCGACAGCTAGGTACCCACCCTAGCGCACCTAAAGCGCAGGCGGATTAGTTGTTAGTTTTAGGTACATACCTCCCTGCCGCAAGGTGGGGAGGCCTATTTAGTAACTTACACGCCGGTGGGGCGCAAGCCCCAAAGGCTCAAGCGCTCGAAATGGGTTCCCTCCTAGAGGAATTCATTCGCCAACGATGTCCCGAAGTGTGGGCAAACTTTCTCGCGTTCGCGAAAGAAAAATGTTTAGTCGTCAAGTTCGCCAGCGACAGCCCGGCTTCACCGGCAGTCGCCTCGCCATCATCTCCGGTGCCCTCTGCGCCCGCTAATGCGTCGCCTTCAGCGACACAAGAAATGCCCGCCGCGTCGACCTCCGCCGTCGCGATCGTACCCATCGCGCCTTCCGCGCATCCCATTTCGGCCCCCTTCCGCGCCGTCATTCCCGACTCACAATCGGACGGCGGCTCAGACATGGAGGTCGAAACGACCCCAGCTGAAAACGCGAACATCGACGGCTTCACCGTCGTAAAGTCGCGTAAGAAGGGCAAAAAACGCCCCGCTGCCGACAGCGACCCCTAATGCGAGGCCGCCTCAACTAACCAACCCCCCGCGACGCCCGCCAAAAAGGCAGCCGCGGCGGCTAAACCGATGCCCGAATTCGCCTCCGAGCGAAAAATAAAGCCTCCTCCAACCATGATCATTCAGGAGAAGGCAAAGTGGCACCAAATCTGTTCGTGGTTTGAACGCCACAATATCCGCGATCTCCGGTCGATAACACACACACTTGGGTATCCGCGTATACCTTGATACAACGGACGACTTCCGCCGCGTAACGAAATACTTGCGAATAAAATAAGATAGGTTTTCACACCTACTCGTTGCCCGACGAACCCAAACTTCGGGTAGTTATCAAGGGCGTCCCCAAAGAGTCGGATGTCGACAAGGCAAAGACCGACATCCGCACTCAGGGATACCCTGTGCATGCCGTCCGACGCCTTAGACACCCCAGAACCCGTGTTCCGATGGACATGGTGATGGTTGAACTTTACCCTACCCCGGAAGGTAAGGCCATCTTCAACCTCAAAAGGGTCTGTGGGCTCAGCGACCTCGTGATCGAACCCCCGCGAAGATCGGGAGTTGTGGCGCAGTGCCACAACTGCCAACACTATGGCCACACGGCTAATAATTGCTTCGCTCACCCTAGGTGCGTCAAATGCACCGGTGACCACGGCACGCCTGATTGTACACGACCGAAAGATTGCGCAGATCCACCGAACTGCGTCAATTGTCACACCACCGGCCACCCGGCTAAGTACAGGGGCTGCGCTAAGGCCCCAAAAACTCCCGCGAGAAAAGCTCCCGCGAAAACAACTTTGCCCAAATCCGCGCCCACGAAATTTATTCCCGCGCCCGTGCCCGTCGTAAACGTCTGGGTGAAACCCCAGGTGGCCGCGCAGGTAGTCGCGCCCCCGGTCGCCTTACGACCAAACGCTCAATCGCAGCCCGCCTAACAAACCTCGCGGCCTTGGACCCCCAGGACTTAGTCGACCTACCCGAGACGATAGCTACGTTCGATGACGCAAACCGAGCGACATTAAGTCTCCGAGAAACCATCACTTCCGCAGTCGCAGACTCGGAACGGACGGTGAAACTGTCGGGCGACCGACGATTTAACTTGCCGCCCGACCTGCGATTGCTAACCTAGTAGCCAGAATGCTACACCAGGAGCTCGCTCTGAAATACGGTCTCGCAGATCGGAAACTGCCGTACTACAAGTACTCTCCGGAGGCCGTGCTCGAAAATGACCGCGCCAGGCTCTATTGGGACCGGCCCATCATCACGGACAGGACGATTGTCGCGAACAAACCTGATATCGTGGTGATGGACCGGGCACAGTCGCGGGTATTTTTGGTCGACATTACCATTCCATATGACGACAACCTCGTGAAAGCCGAAACAGATAAGAAGATGAAGTATCTGGACCTGGCTCACGAGGTGACCGACATGTGGGGTGGAGTGCCGACCGAAATTATCCCAATATTCGTATCTGCGAATGGGTTGATCCCAGTCAGGCTCTCCGGACATCTGAGGCGACTGGGACTCCGGAACGGAACGCTCCAAGCTCTAATGCAGAAAGCGGTGCTCCTCGATACCGCCCGCATCCGCCCGCATCCGCTTTCTCTCCCTTTCACCCTAACCCTCGGCCGTTTGGTCTCCCCTGCCGAGGGCTTCCGTCTGGTTGGGTCCTATTTAAATATGTATTATATGTGGCGGCTAAATATTTAAAATAAATATCTATTTGTTTATAATATTTATTCATTAAATCTTATTTTATATATGTTTCTCATATCTATATTAAGTATATATTATTTTCACATATTTTATTATTAATCACATTTAGCGCATTAATGCAATGTTTACGATCGTTTCACTCGCTGGCCAGAGGTTACCCCTATGGTAGACATGTCAGCTGAAACAGTTGGGAAGGCATTATTATCCTGGATATCCAGATTTGGATGCCCAACGGATATTGTCACTGATCGCGGCGGGCAGTTTGAATCGTCACTTTTCCAATATCTTGGGAAAATGATCGGATTCAAACACCGCAGGACAACCGCGTACCACCCAGCTTGTAACGGATTAGTGGAACGATTCCACCGTCAGCTGAAAGCAGCCATAATGTGCCACGCTGATTGCAACTGGGTAGACTCATTGCCTTTGGTGTTATTAGGCATTAGAAGTGCATTTAAGGAAGACCTCCAAACTTCTTCCGCCGAATTGGTGTATGGTGAGCCATTACGTTTGCCCGGGGAATTCTTCCTCCAGGCAACGTCCCCCCACTCCACCGACGTTTCGGAGTTTACCACTCGCTTGCGCCGATACGTATCAAAATTGCAACCAGCACCAGCAGCACGGCACAATAAAGGGAACATCTTTATTTATAAAGAGTTGACTTCTGCCAGTCACGTATTTTTAAGGGACGACACAGTACGTGGGGCATTGCAGCCACCCTACACCGGTCCCCATGAAGTATTGGAGCGAGGGGAAAAGACCTTCAAAATACAGGTCAAAGGGAAACGTATGACGGTATCCATAGACCGCCTCAAGCCAGCCTACATATTGGCTCACACACCTGATTCCCCTTCCACCACCACGCCCAATTCCCATCCTAGTTCCCTGCCTGATCCTGTTTCTACAGGGCAAAATACCTCACCACAGGATCTTGTCAGAAGAACGCGTTCGGGCCGCAGAGTCAGATTCCCCGATTTTTATCGCCCGTAGTAACGGTCTCCGGGGGGGAGTGATGTGGCGGCTAAATATTTAAAATAAATATCTATTTGTTTATAATATTTATTCATTAAATCTTATTTTATATATGTTTCTCATATCTATATTAAGTATATATTATTTTCACATATTTTATTATTAATCACATTTAGCGCATTAATGCAATGTTTACGATCGTTATCAACGGTCAGCTGTGCCGCGATGCGACGCGGCTCACCTAACGTTTTTTATGTACGATTTACCGATCGGGCGCCCGGCAACAATGATTCCGTCCGAGCCCGTGCTACGTCATAAGACACTCGCGAGGCGCGGTACATTAACTCCTATCGCCAGTCGCTTGTTGCTTCCCGCTGCGCTTACGCTTTATCAGATATTACGTGTTGTCATAGTTCCGCTGTAGTTGCTTATTTTCGCTATCCTCTTTTGTTATTGTTTTGTGCTATCTTTTACTCCTTCTGACTTTCTTTTGTGGTCGTATATGTGTGTAGACAATAAATGTTGTGAACAGTGTATTGACTTTATATATTCACCCGACACACACGAACTCACTTCCACCGCCTACCAAATATATACAATATTTATATCTTTATGTTTATTTTTATTTATAATATATATTTTATATATCGATACCTTAATTGGCAAACAAGCTAACTCCATATGGGCAAGTTTTACAGGACACAGTTAAAACTGTATAATATTTTTTTAGACTACTTATGAGAAAATATAAAATATAGTTGGTAGATATTATCGTAAATTGTCATTTTTGATATTATAAAATCCATTATACATTTTCATTACCATACTACAGTGTTTTTTAGGAGTTAATCCGTTTTTTCTTTCGTGCAAAAGTATGTGATCTGGGAGTTAGCTGGTTTTCTTGATAGATTTATTTTAAATAAAAACTTTCTTTTTCTTTTCAAGTGTACAACCAAAGCTTCGTAGGGTTTTAAAAATTGGTTATTAACAACCAGAAAACAGTCAGGTTTATTGGTATCATCAAATTTAATTAAATTTTTTAATATCTGTTGTCATCTTCTTATGAATAGTAATTCTATTGCTAGAATTACTTTATCAACTAAGAAATTGGTTAAAATCGTTGCAAACTAATCAGAACTCAGCCTTTGCCTTCAATCCATAGAAAGGAACACCCATCTCTAGTTTTCATATCATAAATACACACGTTTTGAAGGGTGGTATATAAAAGCGTTAACTTTTTTACATTTTTAAGGGTCTTTCCTATCTCTTTGCCTAATTGTATCTAAAATTTTTATTAAACTATCAACGTAAATTCGTTTTTTATCCCGTCATATTTAAAAAATTATCAAATAATATTTTTCCGTCATCTTCTGAAATATTATGACATTGGATAACACTATTTCTCTTTTACTTACAGTAGTCTAGTTTCATGACTTTTTGGTAGTTTCTGTATCAAAGGAACGGCCTAATCGTTATCCGATTTATCATTACTTGTAGAGAAGTGAGCTGGCTTAAAAATTAGAGGCTGTTAATTCTTTAGAGAATTAATGAAACAGATTTGTAGGTTTTGAAATAATTTAGAAGCTCGTGACTGTTTTAGAGACTGTGTATTGTAGTAAAAAGAAATGGAACAGAACAGGAGATTATAATATAATAAAAGGAAGATGTCGCTACAAAAAATACTCGATCGGCTTTGTATAGGAGTTTCCCGCCCCTGATTGCCACGTCGTTCCGGGTCGAATAGAAATTCGTAATGCACGGCGTTCTGAAAAATGGCGGCCAATTCGTGTTATTTTATGATTTTTTTTTTATAGGTATTGTTATCAACAAGAGAAATATTACTTTAGAGTTTAAATATGTTGTAACTACTTTAGTCGTATTAGAATTATAGTATGATAAAATAGGCGATTTCAAAGAACAACTCAAGTATAAATATATCTCGATACGTATTTTGATATTAATTTAAGAAATATAATTATATGTATTTACTAATGATTTTACCTTTACTTTTATTATCGGAGAAAATTTAGAAGGATAGGGAAAGGAAGGGCACTTAACTTTCATAGACCACTGTCCTGCGGCGTGAAGCTTTAGGTGCTGCACTTGACCGTTGAATCAGTTGTGTCCAAGTTTAAAATGACCTTCTTCGGTAAGCGTCGTCCAATTCTTCTGAACTCCAAATTGATATCTCGATCAGATTCAAAATAATTTTTCGTAACTTCGTATTAATAAATTTTGGTTTAAACAGCTGAAGAAATAAACGCTGGTTCCTTATTGAGGTATCTTCCTTTTTTGGATGTAATTCCTTTCGCTCCACGTGGGCATGGGCCACGGTAACAAAATGGTGGAAAATTATAATCTTCTTATTTCACTTTTCGTCGATATATTTAGTTTTATATTGTCGTATGTCCTGTCACGGTCGCCAATGTTAATTCTTTAGAGAATTAATGAAACAGATTTGTAGGTTTTGAAATAATTTAGAAGCTCGTGGCTGTTTTAGAGACTGTGTATTGTAGTAAAAAGAAATGGAACAGAACAGGAGATTATAATATAATAAAAGGCGGTAAACATAGAAAATAAGAACACAAATTCGCAGGTAGGCAGCAAAAGTATAAAGGAAGATGGTTGGGCATATGTTGCATCCTTTACGTGATAGGTGGCGCTGTAACAGAGGCAATTTCAAGATTGTATTTAAGTGATGGTGTAAGGTGACCAGATAGCAAACTTGGACTGAATTGTTCTTTTTCACACGGAAATATGTCTTCATTAACAACAATTTCATATGTTTGCGTATACTCCACGGCAGACAGTTCATTTCCAATACAATAAATGTTGTTATCAAATCATCATCATCATCATTTCAGCCGGTTTGAGTCCACTGCTGAACACAAGCCTCCCCCATAGACTGCCACGAAGTAAGATCCTAAGCCACCTGCATCCATCGATTTCCTGCACACTTGCACAAATAAATTCGATGAATTAGAAGCTACGCTATCATGCCCAACCAAAGCGTCGTAGGGTTTTGAAAATTGGTTATTAAGAACCAGAAAAGAGTCAGGTTTATTAATATCACCCAATTTATTTAATTTTTTTAATAAACTTTAAAATGTATAACTTCCAACCGTAGCGTTATAAAGTAAGAAGCAAGCCGGCCAACTCAAAGCCAATATTAAATATTAGAATTGCTCAATTACCTAGCAATGTTTTGTAAGAAATAAAATAAGTATCCATACTGTGTATTAATGTTCAATTGTTTTTCAACACTACCTTTCCTTTTGTTGCGTTTATATATTTTTTTTTCCAAATAATGTAGGGCGGTAACCGTACATTACTCGGACGCCATACGAAATAGCCGACTTGGTGGAGTTGGCTGTTAAAATTTTAACGTTCCGTGACATGCGGAGTTGGCTGATTTGCGAATAGCGATTTATAGAAAGAAATAGTGATAATATTGGTGTTATTGTTTTTGCAAATCAAGCGGAATTATTATTGCGTACAGACAAAGCCAAAAAATATTTTTGACCAAAGGTGGAGTTAGCTGGTTTGCCAATTAAGGTATCGATATGCAATATATATCTATATGTTTATTTTTTATAAACCCAACCAGACGAGAAAACAAATAAATATCCCCAAAATCATAATAATAATTATTATTTATTTTTATTCATAATATTTATTTTGTATATGCAATATGTTTAATTTTTATCTATAAACCCAACCAGACGAGAAAACAAATAAATATCCCCAACATAATAATAATAATAATCTTTATTTGTAATCAAAAACACATCTGCACATTACAATAATAAAATTAAAATAGGTATCATACAAACAAAAATAAAATATTAAGTGATAGATATATTAGGACTACAATACAAATGTTTCATCAAATCATAATTTATTGTGAACATCACACTAGGCATGGCCTGTATCGTGAGTTCCACTCTACATGATTGCCAAAATCGCTCGTCGAACATTGTACATGAAAATAGTATCCAATAGATACGTTAGGTTAATAGTTTGTGCCAGTAACAGTAGATTAATAACAGCTAAACTAACTGTAATCAGCTAAATAGATTTTTTGTGCAGTTAATGTATGCCCATTTAATTACTTTCCTTTATTTGACGATTTTTATTACATTCAACATTATTTAAATATTAAAGCAAAGTAACTTTAGTTGATGTCATTAATATTTTGCATGCTATTTCTAAATTTGCTTAACTGTAGTTCAATATTAATGATTTGTAAAACATCTATACCATGTTGTACCTTAGATGTGGATAGTATAAAGTATGAAGCATTAAATTGTAGTAAATACCATAGTAGAATAAATGGTACAAAATTTGAAAATTCAACACTGCATCCGCGACAAACTAGTCATAGGGAACAAATTTTTTTCCCGTTTATTTTTATCTGTAACGGCTTTAAATCTGTTAATATTCAGCTGAGTTAAATTTCAATAAAAATATAGTTTTTGATACTATTTCGACATTCAATTGTATATATAGATATATCTGATCAATATATATCGATTAAAAACATCCACATAAAAAATATATCGATATTTTTTCGGCATCCCTATCAGTAACAGTTATTACGATTAATCAAATCAATACTATGATCATGATGATCAAATCAGGAAAAATAAAGATGTGAGGCTGTCAAAACTATACTCATTAATATTTATTCTTTAAATAAATTATCATGGAAGAAAGTTGTAGTAATCATAATGATCAATCAAATCTAATTAAAAATTGGAACAAAGAAGAAAAGTTTCAACTATTGCAAGCATTAAAGAGTTTTAATTATCATGATTTGCCAAGAATTAGGCAAAATATACCTTCTAAATCCACAGAAGAAATAAGAGATGCAATAGCATATTACAAGACGAAGCTTATGGAACATCCAACATTGAGTCAAAAAATAATAAAAGAAAAAAAGCATAGTAGTGGTAACCTTATTCCTCTGGCTGAATGGGCTAAACTCCTTACAGATAGTCTAAGTTTTCAGGAATTACACACTGAAACTGCAACAGCTCTTCGTATTATAGCAGAATTTGAAGAATTTCCATCTCCTGTGTGTTTGAATAATATTGACTTTAACAAAATTTACCATACATTGGCAAATGCTTTAGAAGGAAAAGCAATGCCAAGAGATAAGTATGTTATTACAGTTCTAGAAAAATGTTTAATTGATACTGCATTAACCAGTAAAGCCTTTATTAGGCAATCAACTTTTAGAAATATTATAAAATCTATGAACATGTCTGATAAAGCTGTTAATTCATTTCCTCGACCTACTGATATTCAAGAGCTAGCAAATATTCGTCACTTAGCTTCACAAAGGACATATAATCCTTTAAATATATCTGAAGAATTTTTAAAACCATCTTATTGATGTAATAGATAATAGATGCCACAATTGATTCTAGAACTATGAATCTTGTAGATTAATATTTTTAGAATATTCTATTGTTGTGCATAAATTCAAAAATCTGTATTATAGTGTAATCATTTGTTATAATTTATTTTAAGTTTTAAATTAGTGTAAGTTAAATTATATATAATTATTACGATGAGTTAAGCCATTCTATAAATTTATTAAACAGTTTTATTGCCACTTTGATTACTTTGTCCCAGAATCCAGGTTCTTCCTCATCTTGGCTTGTTTCATCAGTATCAAAATTCTCCAGTTGACGTTTTTGTCTTACCATTAAATCCCAATTATTATCACCTGAAAAACAATAATTATTTATTAAATTTAATATTTTTGTTTTGAGTTTTATGATTTTTTTAAATCTTTCATTGCTTTTTGTAAGCATGCATTCTTTGTGTCATATAGATCTGATGAAAATTTTGGCAGCCAAAATCACGGCTCTGCATCTCGGCGTGAGGCTTATTATTATATAGAAAGTTCCTTATTGGTATTATGGCACCCTTATAAAACAAATAATTTTACAAAACATACCCACTACACCATTGATGTTGGATGGTATCTAGAAAAGTAATTATATCCTTATTATTTTGTAATATAACAGCATTTATTTAAATCATTAGCAGAATACTCAACCTGATACTGTAATGTATACACTGTCAATGAGATCACTAATAATGCACACATAGTTGTTATATGATGTCCCATTATAGCGGACTCAACATTTACATTAACTGCCTGCAAAATTGAACTTGGCTTATATAGAAAGGTGTGGTTTTGTGACCACTGGAGTGTATCAAACACTATAGTGTGTAATGATATAGTATTCAGTGGAATTCCTCATTGTTCACATCCTTCATGGTATTGTATGCATGAGTACATAGTGTGCAAGTCATCTTAAATAAATAATTTTATACCTATTTTCGTGTCTCTTCAATTAAGCACCTAACATTTCCAAGGAAATAATGTTAATTTATTTTTAAAGAGTATTCCATCTAAATTTCCATGATTCAGAATATAGTTGATCAATTTTAAGCAAATACTTTTTAATGATTTCTGGAATTTGCAAGAAAAAAAATGCTTCATATCTTTGTGTAAGATTAAATAGAATTGTTGGTTATTTTTATATAGAAAATTCCCATTATTTCATTCATTAAAAAAATCAGTATTAATTGATATTAAAACCACTTCACAAATCCAACAAATGCCTCCAGATTCAGATGTTTGAACTTGGAATTCTTGGAGTAATTATTGTTTAAGAAATATCTATTAAAAGTTGAAAGTCAATGTCAAGCTCAAGAAAATGCTTCAGATTCCAACCTATAGCGTTTACACTTAATCTTTCAATGCCTCACCCCACGTGCTTTGCAGGTAGCAGATAGACAATGATATAGAGCATCCATTCTAACTCTGATGCTTTTAAACTGGAAACACTGTGTTGAGTAAGCTTGATGATGGCCTAATAAAGGGACCGAAGGTAACCCACAAAATGGATGACGTGGCGAGCCTTGATGGACATGACTGCAATTTTTTGTATCAACTGGGCACAAGAATCTATAAATTGTCGCTAGTCAAGACACTAAGCAAGAAAGGCAAGACAGGCCATACATATGAGTCCTGTCCATTTTTGCCATATATAAATGTTAGATTTTGGCTTCATTGTTGTTATATGCAAAGTTGGTTCTAATTTTATCATAAATTCTCTTTTTCTAAATTATTGTGATATACTTAATGTATGAAGTAATGGCGTTTTTTATTGCAACTTTATTTGACCCTAAGTATTTAATTACCTATTTTAACATAATTTTATATTACACAAACCAAGAATATTAGATCATACCAGTGGTGCAAAATTTGAAAGTGACAAGATATACTTCATTGCATATATAGGGGTGCAATAATTATAATATTATGATTAAGTCCACTAAGCAGTAATATTAATTAATCATGTAGAAAATAATTTGCTTGCGTTCTGTGGAAATAAAAACAACTTTGTTATATGTTGTTGATTGTACTGTTACATGGAATTTAATAGTATTTGTATAGGAATGACCTTTGATACGCTTGAAAAAGTTCTTACAATAAATCACTAGGAAATTCTGTTTCCATTTTATTACATAAATTTAGTCACCAAGTTCTTATATTATGCATTATGACTACTTATATACATATAATGTAATATGCATTTATGATGTAAGAAAAGAAGAAAATTCAGGTAGTGCATTTCAAATTAAATAAAACAGAGGAAATTTAAGAAGATTTATAATAAGAGACAAACAAAAAAATACTTTACACCATAATCATAATATTAAATATATAATTATACAGCAGTCATTTTTTCGATCCACCAAATCCGGAGAAGCCCATAATTTGAGCAAGCTCTGACTGAGCAGGTGTATCATCAGGTTCATCTGTTTCCTGTAGCTTACGTTTCTTATCACGTCTTCTTTCTCGACGTAATTCTTTTAGTCTTGCTTCTTCTTCAGCAGCCTCTCTGAGTCGAGTATCTAATTCATACTCTCGCTTTTTCTCTTCCAACTTGCGTTTATTCAATGAAAATCTGGCTTTAACCTTTAATAACAATAAAACATTTGCTGAGATTCATCTGAAATGCTTGTATATCCATTTAATTTCCTAGTGAGTTTTTGTTGTTTAAATTTCCTATAAATATTTCCATTTTTAGTAGACCTTTGGATAATCAGAGCACATTTTGTGTAAATTTGCTGTACTTTTTTTAATTAAAACTAAGATTTCAAGAAAGCTTTCAAAAGAACTTTCAAGCTCCCATTAAAAAGTTCACTTATATCAACTTCCTTAATACTATAGCTTCCTGCGCAGCCTTGGAACGTACAACATATCATGTCTTGCTGTTACTAAATTTGCATTTTAATGTTACCTTCCAAAGTTAATAATTGCTTTAAAATTCAATTTAATCTATTTAACTAAAATTACCTTACATGTATTTCTCTAAATACCCTATTAAATTATTGGAAATATTGCATGAAACAAACGTTTTGTCTAATATGCATTTCAATACATTTGAGATGATGTACTGAGACTTTAGTTGTTCGACCCTCTAACCACAAAGTACCCATTAGGTTCCACATCAGTTCATAATTGGAAATAAGATAAACAATATAGCATAGGATATTAATTCAGATGTGAAAAAGAAAATAAAAAAAAAATGTGTGTGTACTTATGCACATGTATCATTAGAAGTTATACTTCTTTAGTGTAACAAAATAAAAGTCTTCAAAATTTTATCTTTAGCCTTATTCTACGTTTGTAGAAAAAAGGTATTTAACACCTTGAAAGTTTTATTATAACGCATTATTAGGGTAAATGAAGTTTATTTCAATATCACAAAATAAATGTTGTGAATACAGTTGTGAGTTCTCACACAAACATATGGAGATGTCTGGCTAACTTCAGGGTGTCGGTTTTTCGTGACAGTGTGCGCTCGCATCATAAAAATTTACTCTTATCATTTTTCCCTAAGGCGCCAAAAGAAGTATAACTTCAAGACAATATAAATTTGACCTTTGAGTTTTTAAAATCAAACTGGCAAAAAATCATTAAATATGATAAGACTTACTTGATCTAGCGTACTTCGCTCAATTTTCATTGACATACCAAGATTACGTTGATGCTTTTTTCCATTAATGTGATCCAAGAAATTGATTGAATCTTTAACCACACAGTCACAAACATTACAATAATATCCTCCTGATTGTGACGTTGGAGTATTTTTGGTAATAACCACACTCTTCCCTAGTTTAGAGTCTAAATCCACCTTATATTCACGTTGTTTTAGAAGCTCCCTCTTTACTGGAGGTGCTGAAATATTGTTTTGAAAAAATATTAAAAAATAGATTATTATATACTGCATTAGATTGTCGTTTACAAACCTTTCTTTTTTGTACGTTCCTCCTCTTCTTCTAGTTCTATTTTAAGTCGTTCTACAGCTATTCTTTCAAACTCATCTTTATCCCATTTTCGACGGTGATCGTCTGGTCTCATACTCATTTTGAATTTTTTGCAAAAATAATTAGTTTATGAAGTTGGGTTAAATACTCCGTTGGTGAAAATTTTGAATATAATTATAAAATACAACTTAAATATAATAAATTGTGGTCAATATTTACTATTACAATTAATATTAATGTCAAAAAGGAAACAGAGACGGACTATTATTAAGTACAATAAGTACACGTACAAGTAGTACCTAGTTGTAGTTGTTAATATTTTGACATTTTGATTTTTGACATATTATGTCAATTTTTTGTTTGGAGTTTATGGCCCGGTATCAAGGACCTTTAGGCCAATTATGTCAATTTTGTTCAAAAATTGGTAGGGTGGTTGACGGTTCCGTGACACATTAAATAAAAAAAAAATAACAATCTATACGAGTATGACCAAAGAGAATGTAATCACTACTTTTAAGAGACGGGACTTCCATACTAGCCAAAAATATCAGTTTACGCGGCACTCCAATACCAACCATACCACAAAAATACCACAAAGATGTCAAACAACAGGAGTACCAACTTAACGAGACAAATAGTGCTTAACCACGCTAGCTTAACTTCTTATCGATATCGATAAAATATACTAGGTAGAAATCGAGGTTTCCACTTAATATTTTTTTTATTACTTTTAGGTAAGTATCGAGTCCGTATTTATGTCCAATGTTGATGAGGGGCTATTTGGTACTAATACAAGATTGGACTTAAATGCGGACCCGAAATAAGATAAAAAACGGTTTCTGATAATTGAAATAAAATTTTATTACTGAAATGAAATATATTTCTTGTCTCTTGATTCTTCAGTCAGCTGTTGTCCTGCTGTACATGAGTCTGAAATAAATTGGAACATAGAATCAAAAATAAAAATAAAGAAATATTTTTCAAAATCCTGCAAAATTCATCTATTCCGATCCTTGCTCATTTATGTAGGCACACCATTCAAATTATTATTCAATCAAATATGTAAAACTTTGTGCCCCTACTCTTTCACGCAACATTTTATTTCTTATTTTTTTTGATTTCAATGATAAACATTAACGTAGTTATCGATATCTGGATATTACAGTTGCGGTACATCACAATTTAAATGAGATAAATTTGTTAATTTTATTTGTTCTTAGCCTGCTCTACTTACATATGGCTGCAAAATATCATATTTAAGTGCTTACATTTTCATCTAAGGGAAATCTCGCCATAAACATCCTTTTTTCAAGATTCGAATGACTTGCCGTCTTTATATATAATAAACCGTCTTTTTGGCATTTTGAATTAAAAGTTCAACTCTGATCACTTGTCACTAGTTTTCGTGAGAAAGTTTACTCTAAACAATTTAATTTTACAATGAAATAAGCATTTACATTCAAAATACGCGGTGCAAAACTAAGTTTTGACAAACAACATGGCACTTCTTGTATCGCAAGAAAGAGAAACCGCATTGAGGGAGAGTGATAGCAATGTCCGCCATTATTTGCCGCGTAAAGTCCATAGAAAAATTTTTTGTTCCTAGTTTCGCCACACTGATGACGTCGACCGTTTCCCATATTTATCATGTTGGCAGGACAGTGTATTGAGTTTTTGAAGTCAAATTAAAATGGCGCTTTCCTAGTGAAAATAACAAGTTTTAAATATTTTTTTTTTCTGGAAAACTTTAGGCGACCGGAGAATTCTGCTTGTTTTTTAATTCATTAGTAATTTTTCTGTATCTTGTAAAATTTATTGTAACTGCAGTATGCGCCCGTTAATATGCTGAACATTTGCTATATATCAATATATCGACGTTTTCTCTTCGATACATCGAGGCCATTATTGTTAATTTTATGAATATCGATATATTTCTTAACTTCCGGCACCCCTACCCTAGTTTGTGGCTGGCGTGGCATTACCAGTGTAAATAATTAATGTACTCTGTGGGCATCACGAAATATGGTATAACTAACAGATAAAATTATACTTAACTAATAAATCATTAACTATTTCATTAAAATGGTCATGAAAACAAAATATAATGTTATTTATTGTTAAGAACCACCAACGGAATAACATGTTGTTTTGTAATTAAATCTGACAAGAGTAGTCTTAAGAACTTAATTTACATGATTCCATTTAAGGGTAGTTACAGCATGTTTAAAAAGACAATAAGTGTACGATAATATAATAATTATTGTTACACGTACGAGTTATATACTAATATAAAGCAAAAAAAAGACAATATGATAAATATGAAAATTAAACGATTTTCGGACTTAATATCGAAATTTTGATAGTATTTTTACTTTGAAATATTAAATAGATTGATAATTTGACAATTATAGCTCTAAAAGTTTTTATACTATCGCAATAAGTCAATAGTCATATACAATCTGTTTATTCTCAGTGTAGTAATGATCAACGATAATGATAAACGTAGTGATTACATTCTCTCTGGAATGATGACCAAGATTTATTTATTATATATATATATATATATATATATATATATATATATATATATATATATATATATATATATATGTATATATGAACTAAAAAAAAATAAGTTTTATTGTAAAAATATCTGACAACAATTTTTTCACCCCATGCCATTTCAATATTGATTAATATACTGTTTTAATATATTTTATGGATCGAAAACAATCATCTGGTACAATTTTTACATAATTATCGAGTATGACATATTTCCTGTTTTTTTGGGGGGGCAATATTTTAAAATATTACTACTCATGCTTTGGTACAAGTCACTAATGCAACATAGTAAGAAGAAAAAGTTTCCATTTTAAATATTTTTTGCCAAATTAGTTTTCTTTCTGAATTTAGGAAGAAAAATCCTATTTTGGCATCCGTGGTTTGCTTTGCTTTATATGTACAATGTTTTTTTTTTTTGGTTTAAGTGTAGTTTGTGCTATCCCGGCGGTTTTCGTATTTTGGTCACAACCACGAACTAAGAAGTTGGTAGATAGAACATAAGGTTCTTTCTACCGCCTTTAAAACATAAAACTTCTAAAGAGAACGTAAGCAGCCGTATTATGCAATAATGTGTTAACCCTCAAAAATATAAATTCTGTGTTAATGTCATTTAGGTATTGTAGTTGGTCTACTCGATGCTTGGAAAAATGTCCATAACTGTAGTAAATTAACTGCAGCGCTATCTCACTCATATTAATGTCCCATATTAATTAATTTTTGTACACAATCAAAATAACCAATATGTATTTTTTATCGCTGTCGACTATTTAAAACTCTTTCTCACAATTAGGAATTTTGACGTTGACGCATTATTGCTTAACATCGCTCAGTTGATGACTCTACGGCGCCATTGCTAAGCTATGGCTTCGGTATATATGTCATGGGTTTGATTTCCACACGGGACAAGGATTTGTGTGACCCGAAAATAATTGTCCCGGATCTGGGTGTTTTGTTTCCCAAGGAGCGTCACGCAGGCGGCTGATCGTAAATAATATAGCCAAAACCATTATGGCTAGATCAACTTCTAAAAAATTCGTCGTAGTATGAGGTAAGTCTAAATATTGAGGTATGCAAATGCATGACAGATTCTGCGGCCAATTTTTCCGTCTCCGTTTTGTTATCACTATGTACACTTTCTTTATCACTCAAAGATAATGTTCGTTTATTCATGTTGCACGAGGTTATCACAACTTGGCTGGTGCTAGGTGCACCTGTTAAGATTCAATTTGGGATTTTTAGCTCAAATCACCTGAATAAATAAAATGTATTAGTAATCCCTAATTAGTCATCACTATTAACCATCAATCGATCTTTGCAATCGACACGCGTCGTCTCGTTCTAGACTCTGAGCGCCTGTAGATGGCGCTGGCGTGTCCGAACGTATAACCGGCATGAAATTCAATATCCAAAAACAAAAATCTCACGGTAATTTAGTTTTTTCACCCAATTTTATAAAAATTATATAAATTTATATAATTTTATAAAAATTATAATAGAAAAATGTTTAGTACTTCCAATGAGTAAATATAGACACGCCTGGACATTATACTAAAGATGCAGACTTTGAGAGCTAAGGCTGGTTTCTTTCGGTGATGATTGCTCCATCGAAGCCAATTTTCCGTCTACATTTTCGTGTTTGCAGTGAAACACCATACTGTATTTCTTTCTAGAGTGCAGAGTGTTCAGTATGGTGTGCATCGTGCTATTTGGAATTATAGCAATCAGTAAAACCCTTTCAGAATCCTAAAAAACAGTAGTCATGGGATTCACGGCTCTTGTAAACTCAAGTAGGGCCTACCAAGTCTGTACCGTCATACAGGATTTTCCGGCCTTTCTATTGCTCAGCAGCCTGATGCAGATGATTTGACATAGACTTGTAACTTCATTTTTATTTATATAGGTATATTTTGATATTATCGTAGAATTTCCACTTTCTTGGTGTAAAAAGGTCTGGATATTATATGACAGACGTTTCAGACTTACCCCATAGGGATTGCGCAAAATGAAAAAATGTATCATTGCCATTTTATTACGACCGTGCTTATGTGACATCAAATGACGACCGCTGCGACGCAAACGTGCTGGTTCGCGTAATGGCATCTCATTTCACCGCTTTTGTTCTCATCTCGCACCTCGTTAACACTTGAGCTTTATGAGTTCCAACGGCAATATTAAAATGAGGTTATTGAAAAACTTCGTGTTTTAATTTCACTTTTTGGGGTCAGTTTTCCTAGATACAATTTAATCCAAATATATTCGCTGTAAGTGGTAATCATTCCAACCCATTTTTATTAATTAAGTGCTTTTAATTATTACATAAAAATACTATTTGGTACTGGTCCTGGTGGTACTTATATAATGTGGCTGATGATCGTTACAGTATCTTATATTGCTTTGATAACGGATATTTAATCATTCAGATATTCAGTATTAGCAGTATTTGCATAAACGTATTTACGTGTTTTACAATGATTTTATCCTAACAAGCCATCTTCTCAATATAACCGATATAACAAACCGTGCGTAATATTTTTTGTC